ATAAATACGATCGAAAGCGATTATCAAAAGTGCAGCGAAGCTGTTTCAAACGAGCTCTACCTGCCCCAAATAAGACCGAGCGGCAATTATCGCTGACGGTTTCTTCGAACCGTGCTCCTCTCGCAATTCATTCCACATAGTTCCTTTAAATTTCACTTTTCCTGTCGAAAAAGTAGCAAGAGCCCGGCGCTTTTCCATCCTGCCCCGATCCGTACTTCTTCTTAAGGTTGCAGCGCGCAGCCTTTTACGAGAGAACCGAAAAAGAAGATAAGCAGATTTAGGGCCGAGCCACTATGGTAAACACGTAACCCGACCATTTTACGTTGGTACCCGCGAGTACGTGTAAACGCGCAGAACATCGTCGAAGAAGTTGCAACGCTTAGGAAAAAAAAGTGAATAATTTTCCCAGATGAAATCCGGCCGGTCGGTTTTCCCAGAGAGAGGCATTTCCTCGTTGCGCGCACGGCGCGGTTGCATTGTCAAGAGGAACGAGCGTATGCATTGACACGGCGAACCGCCACAAATGGACACAGAGAGCAGAAAGTCGAGGCGTTGGTCGGCATTTAAAAGTAACTTTACGGCGCGCCGCTACAAAAAGATCTGGTTCACGTCGTTCGGTAAAAAGCATCGAATGCCGATGCCGATGCCGGCCGAGGCGAGGTAGGCCGAGTGAAATGTGGCATAGCGAAGTCGATAACAACGACATAGACCGAGATCAACGGGCCAGTACTTTCACGCGTCCTTCGGCGGACTTATTCCTTCGGAGCGGAGCCGATCGACCGATCGACCGGCCGCAAAACGTTCCCTTATCGTAAATACTCGTACGCGGAGCACGCTTTCGTTCGATAAACCGAAACGAAAACTTATTACTTATCGTGCTGTATCGTTCAATTCCGCCGCCATTATCGTTCCCGCGGACGAATAATTGCACGGTCGGCGTAACCATTTATCAGCCGCTCGTCGACAGCCGGGTACCATTTTGCACATTCTATTCGAAATATTTCTTTTCTCGCCGGCTAGATCGCGTTAACAATGGTACCGCCGCGCGACCGATGTGGAAATCCATCGATACGAGCGTCGCCCTGATGGCATTTAGGCGAACACGGGGAGAGAGACGCGCGGTGGGTGCCGCAGGAGGCGTAGCCATCGCGATCTCGATGCTGCGTGCACGATATGATAATAACTGTGATAGTGCAAACGGCTAAATTTCAACCCTTTGCGCTCGAAGCCATTTAACCGGTTAGCTGCGGCGCCTCCTTCTCAGAGCGCCTACCTGTAAACGTAACTGTCGCGCATTGAAATCTCATCGGAGGAATTTTTCTTCTCTTTTCGTTGCACGATCTGTCCGTTCTTATTTGTACGTATAGTCGTTATACTTTGGAAACATTTTAAATATATTTTAGAAATATTTTATTCGTTTGTTTGCGACGTCTTTGTGCCGTTGTTTGCATCATCTACTTCATTTACAGCTATCGTTGACAATCGGTAACTATAAAAACAAGTCGCAAGGCTCCTCTTCCCAAATTGTCCATTTTTGTGGACAGTCCGAGCGTCAATTAGGGAGACATTGCAGTACATCTGTAATCGGCGCTTGCACGTTTACGAACTGAAATGCGTCGAATCGTTTGACTACTTCTGTGCAACAGGTGCTAATTGGAGACGATATTTGTGATTACGTTCATTTTTATCAGGTACCAGATAAGGCGCCAGATCACGTTTCACCGTCGAGCCGAAGCCGTTTGCCCAACTGCAATCGACTGTATCGGTGAGCACCGGATTTTCACCTGATCATATATTGCTGATGTTCCGAAACGATCGACGCGTCGAAGCAGAATTCTTTGAGCTAGCCGAGTGTCGTTGTGTGTACAACTCGGGCCCGAAAACGACGCTCACGATAAAATCCTGCGATAAAAGATGAAATCGTTGAGAATCGATCGAAATTATTTTGATTCCCAAATATATACAGCCACATCGATGAATATTTTATATATATATATANCGGGGAGAGAGACGCGCGGTGGGTGCCGCAGGAGGCGTAGCCATCGCGATCTCGATGCTGCGTGCACGATATGATAATAACTGTGATAGTGCAAACGGCTAAATTTCAACCCTTTGCGCTCGAAGCCATTTAACCGGTTAGCTGCGGCGCCTCCTTCTCAGAGCGCCTACCTGTAAACGTAACTGTCGCGCATTGAAATCTCATCGGAGGAATTTTTCTTCTCTTTTCGTTGCACGATCTGTCCGTTCTTATTTGTACGTATAGTCGTTATACTTTGGAAACATTTTAAATATATTTTAGAAATATTTTATTCGTTTGTTTGCGACGTCTTTGTGCCGTTGTTTGCATCATCTACTTCATTTACAGCTATCGTTGACAATCGGTAACTATAAAAACAAGTCGCAAGGCTCCTCTTCCCAAATTGTCCATTTTTGTGGACAGTCCGAGCGTCAATTAGGGAGACATTGCAGTACATCTGTAATCGGCGCTTGCACGTTTACGAACTGAAATGCGTCGAATCGTTTGACTACTTCTGTGCAACAGGTGCTAATTGGAGACGATATTTGTGATTACGTTCATTTTTATCAGGTACCAGATAAGGCGCCAGATCACGTTTCACCGTCGAGCCGAAGCCGTTTGCCCAACTGCAATCGACTGTATCGGTGAGCACCGGATTTTCACCTGATCATATATTGCTGATGTTCCGAAACGATCGACGCGTCGAAGCAGAATTCTTTGAGCTAGCCGAGTGTCGTTGTGTGTACAACTCGGGCCCGAAAACGACGCTCACGATAAAATCCTGCGATAAAAGATGAAATCGTTGAGAATCGATCGAAATTATTTTGATTCCCAAATATATACAGCCACATCGATGAATATTTTATATATATATATACATTTTTTAATTTTCTTTCTTTTCTTTTCTTTTCTTCTCGAACAATGTACTGTAAAGATTTAACGCAACGTACTGTACTGCAATGTACTGTAAAAATTTTTAAATATGCTTGTAAAAAGTACTTTGTACAGATATGTAACACTTGGATCGATATACAGTCACTCGGTTCTCCCAGAATAAATGTAAACGTACGAATTTCAGACGGAGAAAGCGGCAGCGCGTGTAATATGCAGTTTCGTTTCTAAAATTTCAATACGGGTGGTGGTAAAAGGCTGTTTGAAAGTGAAATAAATTAAAACTGTCCTGTCGACGAAACTATCAATTTCACCTCCGTATAATTTTACAATTAAAAGATCGTTAACTTTTATTCTAGTTCTACATTTTTTGATCTAGCTCTTTAGTTCTTTACTTTCCTTATTAATATCGCAACGCAAACAATGAATTGAGCTCATTATTAGCTATAGATATGGGTGTAGAATGAAACCTGTGCTTCGTCTACGACATTTCCAGCAAAGAAATGTCTTTTTATTTCACGGCACTACTCGAAGCTCTTTACAGAACGAACCTTTAGCAGCGACTGACTTTGGAGCCCTGAAAAGAAAATTGTGGCTCCCTCGTGTCTCCGGACTGTTACGGTTGGGCCCCGCTAGGGACTCTCGGGCCGTAAGAACTTTCAGAACTTTCTTCCACTTTTCCAACCGCGAAGGGAGGGGAGAAGGAGTGGAACCACCGAGAGCAACGCGGCGCGACACTCCCCACTTTTAGTCCGTTTCTCCTTCCTTCGCGTTGGGCCAGTGGTTAGACAAGAGGGGACGAGTTCTGAAAGTTCTTAAGGCCCTGAGTCCTGCTGCCCGAGCCTCCGGACCAAGCGCTAACACGTTGCATGCTTTCTTATCTCGGTTTAAAGGACACTTCTGTGAACCTTGATTCGTTTCTGCTCTCGAACGATAAGCCCATTATATTCGTTACGTATCGATAATCCAAAAGATACCGATTTGTTCTACGCGAATAATATCCCATAATATCCCAAAGTTCGATTTCTTTTTCCTGGACGATTCGTTCTCGATATCTCCTTCTAAAAAATTGTCATAAATCTTCCGATACTCGTTCCAACGCGTCAACCCTTTTGCAAACATTTCCTGACCGCGTAAATTCGGATCGCCTACGAAGACAAAAAAAGGAAAAAAACCCGCGCGCAAATAGCGCAACAATTTATCGCAGAAAGGTGCCACGTAAATTGTGGAACCGGTGTAATTCGTCGGGCACGTACGTGGATGACGTGGCAGTAAAACTGTCAAAGTACGTATAGCCGTGTTGCTTGTGAAACGCGGGTGCGCGCGCGCGTAATCTATCGGAATCAGGGTGAAAGAGAATTCCGAATTATAAAACAGCGTCGACGAAAGATTCGACTACGTGGCACACCTGGCCGTGTCCGTAATCCTCGGAACGCATCCCACCCGCGTGCGATTTTCAGCTGGGCGGTTCAAGGTGGCAATACTTGTTCGCTTTGGATCCCACTGGTGCGCGGCAGCAGGTGGAACATACTTCTGAATCGGAGCCGACGGAGGTGGAAGTGACGGGGCGCATCGGAGGAACTGGTTTCAACGAGCCAGAAGCTCGCGCGTTTCGCGACGCGACGAGCACGACGCATGGTAGCGTTGTGACGAAGACGCGGCGCTGCTCGGAGCGATACGAAGCGATGCGAAGCGATACGAAGCGACTCGGAGCGATTCGGAGCGACTCGGAGCGGCGCTATGCTTTTGCTATGCTTTGCTTTGCTACGCTTTTCTGTGCTTTGCTATGCTTTTCTGTGCTTTGCTATGCTTTTCTGTGCTTTGCTATGCTTTGCTTTGCTTTGCTATGCTTTGCTTTGCTATGCTTTTCTGTGCTTTGCTATGCTTTGCTGTGCTTTGCTTTGCTCTGCTTTGCTGTGCTTTGCTGTGCTTTGCTGTGCTTTTCTGTGCTTTTCTGTGCTTTGCTTTGCTATACTACGTTGGGCTACACTGTGCGACGCGGCGCGGCGCGGCGCGGCGCTGCTCGGAGCGATACGAAGCGACTCGGAGCGACACGAAGCGGCGCTATGCTACGCTATGCTTTGCAATGCTTTGCTATGCTATGCTATGCTACGTTAGGCTACATAATAAGCTACGCTGTGCGACGCGGCGCGGCGTGCAGCATGACTCGGCCGCGGCCGACTCGCTGCGATCTGACACACAGAGAGAACAGAAACAGGAACAGATACAGATACGGACACGGACACAGGCACGGACACGGACACGAGCACAAATACAGGCAACGGGCACAGACACATGCGCAAAGATAGCGTAGTAGGGAACGATCCGTTCGGCGCGGCAAGGTGGGAGCGAGCTTGGCACCGACAAGTGATCGTTTACAGTTATAGTCAGTCCGGATCGGGCGCTCGGTCAGCCGAGACTGCTTGTGCCAAGTGTATCTGTAACCGATCTCGATTCGTCGAGCCGGTGTCGACGCGACGTCGTTTCTTCCACGCGGCCGTATTCGCCGGCCAGGATTTTCAGTGAAGTGTCTCCTCGTTACTTTCAACGTCCCTCTCCGACCCTCTCCGAATCTCTCCGCTCCGTTCTCCCCATGGCCTTATCCGCGATCTCCACGGCCGGCAGTTTAAATCACCGGAGGAGAGCTGCGAATTCTTGCGGGGCTCGATCGAATCGAATCGAGCACAATTAACGGTATACGATCCTGGTGAAAACCAGACGCAAAATCGCCGGCCGCCACGATGGAACGACAGTGGCCGTCGTGCGACGCGTACGCGAGCGTTCGAGCGACGTTCGCGAATTCGTTTCGTACGGAAGATCGATCGAAACGCGTCGGGTGCGCGCGTATTCGACGTGGCCGCTCCGTTTATCGGGCTCTGAAATTTCTCCGGCCGGGGAACCGGTAGTAGCGGTTCGCGGTCGCGGTTCTCGCATTGTTCTCGTCGCGAGGCGAACAGAAATCTAATCGATAAGGGGGCACACTCTCCGCTATCTTTATTTACCGGGAAGACGATCGAGCGACGCGAATACGATCCGGTCGCGTGAAATTGCTAACGTCCCCCCGCCGTGGATGCACTCGTCGGTGCACGTTCGGCCGGAAAATTCGCTTCGACTTCCGAGTTGTCGGAAGCCGTTCGCGAGGATAACAACGGTCGGCGGCAGTGTAAGAACGCACGTAGGCGAGCACCGCGCACGCGGATCTGACCTCGTAACGTCGAGAACTTCGAGACGATCGCGTAGGAAATGGGAAATGGAAACGCGTTTCCGTCGCGTGCTGGATTCCCCTTTTTTCTCTCTCCCTCCTCGGCGGGCTCGCGAGCTCTCCGCTTCTCCGGTTTTCGCGTTCTCGCGAGCCGACCAGCTCGCTGAGTCAACTTGTTGCGTTCCGCGCAGCGCCAGGAATTCCCCAATAGCTAATCGCCTGCCTCTCTTCTGTGTTCCGACGAGCTACGAAAACGCGGATGCGATCGTTTCCTTTCGATTCACCTGCAAAATCGTCCCGCGAAATAATCGCGAGATCGATCCCTCGAGCTTCGAGTAATCCGCGAGCAATTAATTCCTGCGATCGCAGCGGGAACGAACGACATTCCCCAACTTCGCAGAGGAAGTGAACGGTGAGAAGAGAAAATTTCTCTCCGTGGTTGTTCTTTTGCTCGCCCCTTTCCACCACCCGGTTTCTCTCTCGCGTCGTAGCCACGTGTCGTTGCAACGCGCCAGTCGCGATACCGATTGCGTTTTAAATTAAACAAAATTGGTACATCTTTGTCAACGAAGATGTCGCATAATATGAAAACATACTAAAGATAATAACAATTCAATTCGGTTATAGGGTGGGTCTCGAATAGTTCCGCTTAATAGTTTAATGTCGGATCGAAACTGTTCCATTGGAACTTCCATTGGAAGTTCGGAACATCGCCTCCGGTTTATCTCGACGATACAGGGAGATCGATACTCGACCGTCCGACGGGATCAGGTACATATAACGTTCGTTCTCATCGCATCGTTCCTAAAAATCGTCTCGCGAACGCAAACGGGAAGAATACGCGTTGGAACCATTCGGCAAATCGAAGAGAAACGTCCTCGATGCGATCGCGTTTTGCGGGCTCGCTCGGCTTTCGAAAAGATCGCGCGATAACGACCGAAAAATATGGGAGCCTCTGAATTCAGCGTACCTAGCAGCGGGACGACAACGAACATTTTCCAGGAAAAGTTCGATCGGCGCGGACGTATCGGATAATTGTTCCCTCGTATCGCGCCGCGATCTTTCGACGCTGCAACGCGAAATTTGTCTTTTATTCATGACCGTTTATCACGGTAACGCTATTTCGCTTTTCCGAAGCGCGCAAACAAGGATTCCGTTGCATAAGGCATAGAGTTTTACATTGAATTTCGTTCGGCGATGCAACGATCGCCTGTGTCGTCCGTCGCTTTCGTTACAAGCGCCGCCTTGATTCTAATTTCTCGCGTCTAATTTCAAAGTGAAAACGCTGTTCGCTGAATTCGAAAACAAGAACGACGAGCACCGGGTTCTCCGACTCGAGAGAACTATAGTAATTTTTCTCAAGTTCGCGCTCGGATTGCGCATAGAAATTGACAATTTGGGAAAATTATATTATATATATCATATTTAGCCGATTATTCGAGCCTCGCGTCTCGTTTTTCGAATCTCCTCTTCTCAGATCGAGCGCGAATCGGGGAGAACTTACCGCAGCGGGGGAACATCGTCGAATATGATCGTTGCCACGAGAAACACTTTCGAAGGAAAAAAAAAAGGAATAGAAGCTCGCACGTTCACTCACCTCCGCGGCGCATTCCTGAACGTCCGCGATCGAGGAAACAACGCGAACCCGAGCGGTACGCGCGCAACAGGTCTCCGCATCGCGCTTCGATAAACGGCCGGAATAAAAATAAGAATGGTCCCTGTCGTTTCCATCTGTCGCGATAAGCCCGCGCAAGGGAACGCCGTTCCCGTAGTCGTCCGAGACGACGACGGTCCGGCCGACTTTCTCCCCGTCGACCGCGAATAATTTCCACGTGTTGTACAGATAGTGCGGCGGTCCGTCCGAGAATCGAAGATAATTTGATCGGATGCCGGGCTTCCAGCGGGGAATTCGACCGAGAGCCACCAGCCGAGACTCGCGCGTTCTTATCGATCCGTCCGGGTGGAGTAAACGGAAAGCTCCTGCAGAAATATCTCGAAGTGAAAGAAGCCGAAGTGCCGGCCGAGAAGGAAAGTGTGGTGCGTTGTAACAAAAAAAAACCGTCGGGGAACAACGGCGGCCGGATTTATTTGTGAAATATCAGCAGCAGCCAGCGGGAAGAAAATCGAACAATGCCAATTGGAAAGTGTTGGATTATTTAAAGCGGAGAAAGGAAGGCAGCAGCGGCGGCGGCGGCGGCGGTGGCGGCGACACGCTCGCATTCGGCGAGAGAAAAGTCATCGGCCCTTGGTTGCGTTCGTGCGACGAATTAATTGGTTCGATGGACACGTGGCGAAGATAACCGCACGTAGCCTGCCCAGGACCGCCAACTTCCAAGGTAAATACGACGGACACCTGCCCCGCCTTTGTCTCTGTTCCCTTCCACCGTTCGATGCCCACGCGTCTCCGACCGAGCAGAAATACTCCGCGCGCCTGACCGCGTGCGTTCGTCTAATACGCGCGCATAGCGAGCCGCATTTTTCCAGTAGTCGACGCGACCAACCACGACGGAACAGACCCGGAGAACTGTGTCGCGTGCCTCGTCTTTTCCTTTTCTTTCGACGAACGACCGAATCTGATCGCGACGCGACACCGATTCCACGTTCGTCGTTCCGTATCTACAGTATAATGTCTCCCTTACCGACGCTCAGATTCTCCACAAAAATGGACAATTTCGGAAGAGGAGACACGATTATTCGATCCTTGCGGTTCATTTTTATAGTCACGAATTGTGAACAACTATAAAAACGAGCTGGAAGGCTCGTATCTCCTCTTCCCAAATTGTTCATTTTTGTGCGCAATCCGAGCGTCAGTAAGGGAGACATTACTGTATAGCGATTCTTACGGAGAACGTCGATCGCTTTTACCGATGTCGACGCTGTCTTTTTTACCGATATTTTGTATCACGCGACAAGCGATTAGGTAGAAAACATAGAGGATGGGAAATAATTCTTATTAAAGATTATTTGGGGATGTTTTTTAACCCCTTTGGTAAAAACAGTGTCGAATAGCAACGATCGAGAGGCGTCTTTCGACACCTTCTGCAGAAACGACGTTAAATATCCTTTACTTAATTGAACAGTGGTCCTGACAGTTGTTTCATCAACTGTTTATTTCTCGTGCAATTTGAATATGCAAACAAGTTAAGAAAACCGATTCTTTGTTAACCTATTTATTTTTTAAAAGCCACCCGTTTACGCCGACCGAACCGAATTGCGGATCCAACTTTTACAACCGGAGAACTTTTAATTATCTTCTTTGTTTACGCGTAAGATTATGCGTGCTATTCATGACAGATAGGCGTACGCCGACGTTTTAAAGCAAGCGAAAGCGCAGCATGTACCCCAAATTCCGTCATTTAAAAATGATCGCGTAACTAGCAGGATCTTGCAAACTGTCTTCGGACGAGCAACTACTAAATAATAAACGATGCGATCTCGCGAGTAATTAACATTATATATAACGTTACTCGCGCGTTTCTATGGGTGTGTATATTTTTATTGCCCCTAAACATCCGTCTCGCTGTTTCGACATTTCGTTATCAACGAAAATATTTAACTGTCAGAATATAAGGAGATTACATTCCACTTTAGGATGTTAATTATAAATCCAATCGTATTATGGTAAACTGTTGTGTCGAACAAGAAAGTTGAAGCGAAAAAATTGTTTACTCTACTGACGACTCTTTATCAATTCTATTAAAGTAGTTATCGTCGGCTTCGATATGCAGCGCCGCGAGAAAAAGAATTATTGGCACGCCTTTCAAAGCTGGAGAACTTTTTCGAATTGGACCAAATCCTTCGAATTATTCTCGGAGCTTGTAGAAGCTAGTTTGCTATGTCTACGGAAATTTTTGCAAAAATTCCAGTTGATCGAATTGACAGAGAAAGATTTTGAAAGAGATTTCCACTCTTTTCACCGGAGACGCGCGTTAATGGAGAACGTAAAATATTGATTAGGTGTACAGGGTGTCGCGTAACCGGTGACACAACCGGATAGGGGCTGATTCTACGTCAAAAAATAAGTCGCAAGAAAAGGGATAACATTTTTTCGTTTAAGAATCAGCCCCTATTCGGGGTTGTACGACACCCTGTATGCAACCCTATAAAATTATGCGCTGATATTTAATAGAATGGTAGCGATTCGACGGTGTGGTGCGAGTGTAGTGGGAGAGTGAAGGAAAAGAAAGGGAGCGTTTCCTCCTGGTCCCGCTAGAGGACTCTTCGGTAAGACTTTCTAGCGGAACCTGCCTTATACGCGGGGATATCGGAAGGACGGTGTACAGGATGACCCAAAAGGTACTCGATTTCCTGAAAGTGGCGATCCCTGAGAACTAGATCTACAAGTAGATCTACAGGATCTCGAGCGTGATCGAAATCGCCGACTCGAAGGTCGTGCACTGTACTGTACATCCGGGATATCTCGCTGGAGGTGTTGAAAAGCTATTAATTTCTACTTAATTTGCACAAAAGAATGCGCACAAAAGTGGACAATTTGGGAACAGGAAGTAGGAGATAATTACCTAATTGTAGGATAGATATAAATAGGAACAATGCAATGAACTCTCTCGGTATTTTTTCCCTATGGAAATAATGAAACTAAATTTTTCTTCTAATTTCTGCTAAAAAATCTCTTTTAAGGACACATTTTTATCCATATCGTTTATTATTCGATATGTTGTGCACGATACAAGAAATGAAAGTTTAGATTTCCGATAAAAGACGTTATAAATAGACGCCGTAAATACGTATAGTCGGTGTAAAAAGTATTCCTACACCTTTTAAAATGGAATAACTTTTTTGTAATTGGACCGAATGATATAAAGTATTTTAGAGGATTAGTTAGTTAGTCGATAAGAAATTGCTAAGAAATTGCAATTGGTTTGGATGATAAAAGAATTAGAAAATGATGTTTCTTCGACTCGTTTATCCGAGCTTACAGCAAAAATTTAAATAAAGATTTAAAAGATATAAAAATGACCTGCTTTTGGCTGAAATTCCTGAGAAACTGCCATTTTCACGAACTTTAAATATTAACAGCTCGTAATTTTTTAACTAATGAGTCACCGAAACCTGCAAAATGCATATCCTAAATTTTCTTCAGAGGCTCGCATAAAAACGGTTTGCAAAACCATCATGTTTTTATCTTGTTCGTCGTCCCAATTAATTGCAACTTTTCGAAAGCAATTTGTTTGCCAATTTGTTTACCAAACTGGTCCCTCTACCGTACCAAAAAGATTTAGTTTCAAGAAGTGTACGAATACTTTTTACACCGACTGTAAATACGTGGCCGAGAATGTGTCGCTGATACAATAAAATTACAAATGAAAAGACGGATATCGCATTGTTTCGATTTGAATAAAAATCGAATGGACGTCGCGATTGCATTTGCGATACAGGATAGCAAATTACGACGAACAAGAATCGATTTCGCTTTCGCTACTCGGAACAGTGTTAGAATTTATTTGCGATCGCTGCAGCGTTATAATGAAATATAAAGCTGAGATTGCCGTATCTGTGCTGTAGACTGTAGATTACGCGGCGTACGATAAGCCGTTCAGCCGAAGGTTATCATGCGGCTGGTAATTATGGGTACTGTTCAATCATTCATTAACCGTCTCGTAAATCGCTACGCGAACCGATGCGACGCTACGTCTTGTACTTTTGAAAAATTCTCAGAAACAAACTCGAGCAAAATATTTTTCTCCGCTTTTGACATCTTCCTCTCTAGACGATTCTCTCCAATTATGAAAACATAATCGATCGAACTTTTCGAAAATTATCTGCATTTACCTGTTGCGAGATACGACTGTTTCATCCAGAAACAATAAAAATAATGTTTATCGAACAAGTACGTACGTAATTGTCATAAAGGAAATAGAGTGATCAATTTTTATCATCTAGCGATATACAGGGTGTTAACCTTGACACTAGCTAGCCTGTCTTCTTGCAGATAGTAAACATTAGAAAAAAATGAAAAAGGACGAATATAAATATCTAAATATACGATATATCTATCAGTTTCGAATTGAAATAAGAAACGATCATCGGCTTGTTAATTCAAATCCTGGGGTTGACAGACTTACGCGCGTACACTTGTTCAATTCCGTCTTACGAGAATGCGCGGTGACCGAGTTTTACGCATGTCCGCATTTCGAAAAATCGTTTTCAACGTGTCTCTCTGTGCTTATAAACTCGCTCGACTTTCTCCGACTGTCCAACGGTTAGACGACTACAGAAAATGTCGCGCGTTACGGGAAAGAATGGATCGCGCGTTTCGTACACTCGAATAGAACTTCGACGCGAAACAGAGCTTTTCGATGCGTAAAACTTCGTATCGAACGCTGAACCTACCGACATTTTGCATATGTACGCACTATCTTTCCCGAAATTGTTCGAATTACCGCTTTTTAACTAAACGTTATATCTCCTTCCATTTTATTGCTGATAATGGTCAATTTAGCACGGCCAGTAAAACACAAGAACACTTTTAATAATAACAGAAAGCGTTTATTTCTCGCAGTTTAGATATACAGAAATTCTTTAGAAAGGTGTCTTTAGATACGACAGAATTATGTTTTACTTCGATAATCGCTAGATCGCGGATTTTATGCATTCGCAGCAAAAATGGATAAACGAAACACCGAACGACGAGCCCGGAAGCCTCCCAATTGTTGATCTTTGTTTTTTACACGATCGTTATGTCATCGTCGTCGAATGTCAAACGATTGAATGCGTGTGCGCGCAGATCGCTGGCGCGGAAGGAAAGTTTTCCGCTCGGACGCGGTTGTTCAATTGTTCCTCGCATTCTACGCGTTCGTAAACTTATTACTATTTTACGTGTTCGCAAGCTCACTAACATATACGTATAATTATGTATAAATGCCCGAGTGAACAAATATATACGGGATCGCATTTTCTCACGCCCCGGCCGCGGCCGTACGCGCCGGGACTCTCTCACAAACCCGTTGTTTTCCGGCGAATGCGCAACCACTCGTTCTCTCATTCGCACGAATTTAGTTTCACGTAATTGGGTAGAGAGCCATTTATATATTGCGAATAATATGAAATGTTTATTTCTCGATGTACGAATAATGTGAAATATTTATTTATTATTCCACGAATAACGCTGGGGTTTCCCTGTGTCAGTATAATAAGCAGGTATGCACGCTTTAGCGGAATGCTTACTCGTATAAATATTTATACGCATGCTCGGATAGCGTATAATAGTTTTCAGTAAAAAGAATACTTCTTATTTAAAATCGTCCCGACCTTTTCTTACGTATCATAATCGTCGTCGTTATCGTGGAAAGCCTAATTACGCATTTGGAAAGAATTACGTGGAACAGAAGAACGATTCGTTTGGTCGGCGAAATTTTCGTGTGCTAATCGAATTGAACACACGTGTACAATTGTACATACATATTCAGCGTGCTACGCGTGTGTGAAATAGATCGTGGAAATATCACTTATCGCTTGTACGACCACGGACACACTGATCGAAGTTGGTATATCGCGAGCACCAGTCGAACGGTTATGAAAATATTTGCTAGATAAACGGAAACATCGTTTAGTTGCGGACGAAATACAGCTACGCGAGGTGTAGAATAGCAGGAAACCGAATTAGTAATTAATTATTTATTCGTTACCTTTATTCGAGTACGATTTTATTCGTGTAACGCGCAACGCTGTTTGCAGAACCGTGTCGTCACACGCAATGTCCACATTTCACTGGAACGTCCTTTCCTTCGTTACATTACAGGTGCTAGTAGGCTGATTTTCTGCACACATTGCACAATAGTATGGCTCATTCTTCGGACGGTATCGCACTTTCTTTACATCGAGATTCCACCTGTATTATAGCGTTAAGAAGATGTTTTAGTTTGTACATTTCTTTATCCGTTATCGCGTTCCCACGTAAGGAACGTTGCAGCCACGTCAAATTATAAAGCCTTTTGCTTCTGATTCTTCTTTCATAGCCATTGCTAGGACGGCGATGTTTAAATTGTTTATCGCTGCTCCAAGATCGTTTTTGATGCGATACGTATACAGGTTAAATTGAAGAAGATGCATCTGTGCAACGCGTTTCTTAACTTTCATCGACTACAAATTACAAATGAGTAATTTATAAAATACTAGAATTAACGTTGTATTTTTGAATTTGATTTCGTCGATAACGCGCCCGTGTTGGCCAGCGCAGGCCTCGCCGCGAGACACGTTTAATATTTAAGAAAAGGACGGCGTCGCGACGGTGTAACATTCCACCCGAATGAATTCACAGACCGGCTCTCGGAGGCGAGAAAACCGCTATTATTCCCTGCCGGGCAATAATATTTGTAGCGGACAGAATGACGGGCAAAGCCGAGGCGAAATACGCGAAAGAAAGCGTTACCGATCGACGGAAATTAATACCAGCTCCCCCGTTCGTTATTTTAACATTCCAGATTTCTTACACAGAAATTGCGCAAGCGCTCGATCGTTACCTTGTCGAAGTATTTGCGTTTAACAGTTATATTCCTTGACATGTGTCGTGCTCGAAACTGTTTCGCATTGTGAACACCGGTAGGTACTTTCTAACATTCCAATTGCAACACCGACCATTATACGAATTCTTTCCAAGAAAAGTGAGCAGATATATCAACGCCAACAATTCAGAGAAATTAAGAAATATCCGATCCGGCAATAACAATGCTGGCCAGGCGTGTTAAATATTAACGCTGAACCCGGCGGAGCGACCGAATCACCGTTTTTTTAAACTTTCTACGATATTTAGATATTTTCTTTTATCTCAATAGCTCTATTTTAATGCCTCTTCTTTCGTTTTAAATGCAGGAAGATGTTAAATAGCGTCGTTATTGTTGATTTTGAGTTCTATCGCCTCCCACTGGATAAGTAAACGTTGAACTGGCGTCTTTCTCTCTTTCTCTCTCTATCGCTATTTATCTATCTCCCTTCGAAAGATAAATGAAAACGAAATAAAAATGTCAAATACTGTTCTTCGTGTATACACTGTAGTATGTCTTCATAAAATCCGCGGATAAATCACGAAGAAATGTACACAGGAGAACGCAGAAACTGTTTTGGTTACGTTGAGCGGAAATTATACCACCTGTTATCTTTTTATATCAAGATCCAGCGATGTTTGTCGTCCATCTCCGACCTTTAACCTATAACCGAACCAGCCCCAAATTATTTTTACAATAAGTTAGAGTTACATCAAAGAGATACGAGACTTACAAATCTATCTAGTTCCGTTCATGCGCGGTTTTTCCAGACCTAAAAGCGGCCTTCGACAGCCCAGACAGACGAGATGATTATCCAGGATAATGGAGGAGATGGGATAGGAAAGCAACTTTGAAACAGTATAACCAAAATCTATCGGGAAACGAAATACGCGGCGATGATGGGAGAAAAGAAGACCGATGAGTTTTAAACCGAAAGAGGGATCGGACAGGGCTGCCCGTTGATCCCCACTCTGTTTAATCTATGCATTGGAGATCAGGGGCAAGAGATAAGGAGAAAAAGAGAGGGATCGTTGTCTTCGAGAAGAGAGGAAGAGTGTAGAGAATAATTAATTGGTAACAAATGTGATATTGTATGACATGTTTGGGGGTGGCATAAGGACGAAAGGGTAGATGGAATTAAAAAGAAGTGCACGAAGTGGATTTTAGGCCTAGACAGAAGGACGTCGAACTACACAATGATCGAAGAGACCAAGAGTGAAGAGCCGGGCATCCAAGCAATAGAGAGAGAGAGAGAGAGAGAGAGAGAGAGAGAGAGAGCGCTGGGACACGAGGAAAGGGTAAAAGATCGGACAGCAAACTGGTTGTGGAATGCTTAAAAAAGATAGAAAAGGAAGGTGTGACGGAGAGAAGAAATAATTGGAAGGGAAAAAGAAAGCTCGGGTTGGAGGGCTTAGGAAAAAATAAATCTTCCCCCTTCTAATATCTGTAACCACGGATATTACGACTTCGGAGGACAGTTGTACGGTATGATTTTCGTACGAGACTGCAATTGATCGGCCTTCAGATACGAAAACACGATTTGAAATCTCGACATCGCGGCGCAGTCAGATTCTATCGTTTTGGATAGACAGCTGTAATCGCAGGAAGATGCTGGAATCGAGTGAGCAATATGTCGGAGATAATGTATCTACTAAGGATGTAACAGAAATATCTAGATCCCAATCTTACTTTATTTATTATTTATGAATCGGAATTAAAATCAATTCCAAATCGATTCTATGAAAATAACTCAAGTCGCGTCACATTGTCCCAATAAGTTGTGGAAATTGAACTATTTTATGACGATTTCAAATATATTGCAATTTATTGCAATGTATATATATACTATATATTGCACGAATCTTCTTGCGATAAACTATTAACAAGATTCTGATAAAGATATTTATCGCGACTCGTTTCATATATACGATTCCATTCCGCTTCGATCATCTGTTTCTTCATCGTTTCTTGCGATAAGTTATTAACAAGATTCCGATCAAGACTTTTATCGCGACTCGTTTCATATAAATATAAATAATAATAATTAATCACCGATATTACCCAAGAGCTAAAACAGGTATTTCGCGCATATATTTTGTATAGATTTGTCATATTCTTCTCATATTAATTGTTCGTAAACATTCACAGCCTAGTAATAATAAACCCATCTAATGTAATATCCTGTGCGCGATAGCCCGACTTAAGAGCCCGACCTAAACTCGACCTAATCATCGATACTTTCTATTCCCTCTAGTCGGGTTTTCTTCTGCTTCTTTCACAATATCTCGAAAACCATTAACTCTTTGCGGTCCGCGATATTTTCGCAATGTCGTTCCAGTCGATCAGCGTTACATTCGCAATTTACTTCTGATTCTGCACAGTCGATCCCCACTGTCAACGTCGATCACATTTTACATACAATGGCTCGCGAAAGTGTTCGAACATCTTTTCAAACAATTTTTTAATCAATTTTTTCAAACTGAACCGAATCGCTTGAATTTCTTTTTAGATGTTAGAGTATTTAAAAAATCGAGGCGACAAGTATCTATATTCTAATTTGTAATAACGCGAGTGCCGAGCAATTTTTGTTGAAAACATTCTGCGCTGCCGGATCATCGGAATTGTCTGAAAAATCGTGGTTTGTTTTGAAATTGGATACGAGTGTTCCGTGTGGAGCGTGTTGAACGCGGCACGCGGCCGTCAAAACTTAAAAGTAGCCAGAAGCAGCACCTGAAATAACCATTCATTTTCTTCCCAACAATTTCAGCTTTCATGCGAAAGATGTCCCAGGTTCGATATTTCTCAACACTTTTTTTCTAAACCTTCTCAAAGTTTACAGTTACCACAAAGTTCAGTTTGTTTCTAAATACATTAAAACCTATTCCATAGGCAATTAAATAATTAAAATATAATCACCAAAGCACGCAAACCTGTTTCTCGATGTTTTATAATGAGTCGTGAAAGCAATTAACTTTATCTCGATTTGCATAACTCGGTCTTCAAAAATCAGTATCTCTCATTATGCAATAATGCAAAAGCAATACAGTAATGTCTCTCTAATTGACGTCCAGATTACGAGATCTATAAAGAAATATAATTCGAGACACAATTATAAAAACGAGCCGCAAGGCTCCTGTTCCCAAACTGTCCATTTTTCTGCACAATCTGAGCGTCGGTAAGGGAGACATTACTGTAATACATTTGCATCGTGAAACTCGAACTGGATACGATCTTGTGACAAACAAAAATTTGTCCGACTACAGAAATTCAAGAAATTAGGTTAAATTACCACTTCGCAGTGGTAGAAACAGTGATAGATATAGAGTGTTAATTCCGAGGCAAGAGGTAAGGAAATGGACGGCGTGTTGCTTGCGCACTTTTTCTGCCGGTATACCTTTCTCTTCCTAATGACGGAACGCTGCGCCGGTCTCGACCAGGGACTCTCGTATTCATCGACCTCCATTGCATACCGCGATGAGCTTAGAAGATGATCCCCGGGAGTACATAATGCGGTGACGTATGGCAAGAATGCGGGACCGATTGGTCGGTGTCTCGAAGGAGCGTCCACGCATTTTTCGATTATTTTGCTGTATCGGCCGAAGCGGTCGAACGCGCTAATTGGATCGCCTGACGAAGAGAGACGAGCGAGTCGAGGACTCGCGAGGACCCTGAAGAGAGACGAGGAGAGGGAAATGGGACGTATGGAGAGATCGAGCGAGATAGCGAGAATCGATAGATAGCGGTGGCAGTCGATGCGATGAAACAGCGCAGCGTCTGCGAGAGCCTCGGTGGTGGGGATAAGCGGACCCAACGACGATCCCCTCTTGCTCCTGTGCTGCACCCTGGAGCTGAATGAAAAAATTGGGCCAAATGCAAGAACTTTCGATGGGAATCAGATAAAGCGATGCAGTTTTTTTTATGTTAAAGCTGAAACGTTGTAGGATAAGAGGGGAATAGAGAGGACGTGGTACGAGTACGGATTTTACTGTGCCAATTAAAGCGACGCCCGAAGACGAACTAAATAGCTTTTGTTACCTGTATTGCACTTCTTAAAACATTTAAATGATTGAAGAATAACGTTGTTTTTAAAGGTGGAATAAGTACTGGAAGAACGAAGAAGGAATACGGAGGAAATTGCGACCTATATCGAGGAAAGTTCGTGTCTGTAGGATATTTGATAGGAGAATGCGATGGAACAGATATTGATGTAGCATAGATGATGTAGTAAGCGGTAGAAAGGACGAGAAGTTGGAAAGGCAACAAAAAAGGAGAAGGGGAGTGCGATGATATAGTAGGCGGCCATAAAAACCAGAAGAAAGGAGGTGCAATAGCGGGAGAAAAAGGAGATAAATTTAGACAGTAGATATAGGAAACAAAGAATGGGAATCAGAGTGAAAAGTGAGTATAAATATGAAGTTAATTATAGCCGGCAACATAGCAAAGACACGGCAACTGGTCACTCCCGTTTGGATTCTCAAGTCTTGCAGTAAATTCTCCCTAATTTTCCTCAAGTTTGCAAAGAAAAATAGACAATAGACTAAATTGGCCATTTTTCTGTACAAGTTGAGCGTCGATTAGGGAGAATTTACCGTATCAGCTAGCACCCCGGCTATAGCTGATCTAAAACATAGATCTATACGTTAGATTTAAGTAATGATCTTGTAAATAGTTATTTATCTATTATTTATTTAATTAGCAAGCGTTTGTTTTTCTCTTCTCATTTTTTCCCACTATGTACTCGCTTGCTCCCCCAGTGGGCTAATAAGACTGGTATCATTAAACTTAACCATAGTGCAAGTTAATATTTAAGTGCCTCGTAAACGTTAGTTGCGGCGTTATAATTATATGGCTAATTTGTTCCTGCTTTATTTTTTTCTCTATGTTTATTTGTATACCGTGTATCTTTTATCCGATACGTACAAGACCGTGGCCCCTTTTATACTAAGTTCGTACCTGGAGTATCTGTTTATTTTTTTCCACAAAGTTTGTTTCTGAGTTTATTTTATCTTTATACGGTGAAAATTATTTTTTAAAAAAGTACAATACTATTTGTGTTTAAATTTACCTGCAATGCGAATCGATAAAAGAAATCAAGTTCAGATTGTTGGTGGCACGGAAAATAAAAAACATTCAAAATGCTAACAACGAACTATTAAATATATCTGTTATCTGCGAATGGCGGCATGCAAGAATGTGGTCAAGATGAGTGCGAATACCGAACAAGAGTCGGAGATAGATAATTGGCTTGCGCGCGGTTCTTGGTAGATTTTAATTGCTAATTATTTGAAAATGAAACCGAAATCGCAAGTTCTTTACTCTTGATTTTCGTCTTACATTGTTATGTTTATGAGGTTATCATACGTTAACATTTTTTCCCACGTATTACCGAACATCCCATACATATGCATGCGCATTTGTACATACAATACGAAATTATCTGGTGTGCAGATTTCAATACACATGTACCATGATTATTACTGCAACTTTTTGCGGTAATGGGTACTCTCCTCTTTCTCATTATTCAGATGCAAATACGTGCAACATGTGCAACTGGTGTCGCTGGTTTTCACGATTTTATCACTCCCGCTCGCTAAGTAACTAACTAACTAACTAACTAACTGACTGACTGACTGACCGACTAACTAACTAACTAACTAAGTAACTAAGTAACTAATTAACTAACTAACTAACTCTGGTCATTGTTTATTAAAATGAGATCAAACACGACATGCTTTGGACCATATTTAATCAATTACAGTAATTACTCTCTAATTCGCGCTCAGATTGCGCTCAAAAATGGACAATTTGAGAAGAGTATTTAAAATATTTACTGAATTTACTGTATCTGCCAGAACAGTATAATGTTTGGTCTCGATTTAATCAGAAAACTGTCAGCAAAATATCACAAAAAAATTCAATCTTAAAATGTTAAAATTATGAAAGTTACGTCACTGTATTATGAGTTGTCATTCCGGGTATTCGAGTCAATGGAGCCGCGTCGCGTGCCGCATCATACGCTTGACCGACTCCGTCGAACCTTAGCATAGGCGTAGGAATAGCAGAGCACAGGGACCAGCCTCCAACAAGGACCGTTAGGGAGAATTTCCCGTATTTTTTACCACGTCGAAATGATAGCTTTCGAAAAGAAACTTTGTTGACCCTTATTTTAGGATGTCTAAAAAACGTTCGGTAATCTTTCTCGCCCAAAACGATAAATCGTTTCGCCGTGCCAGTCGTTGGAAGCTGTTGCGGTTAGTCGAACCCAGCGTACACAATTTTTGCGCGGTGCGAACAGGAAAGGTTAACGATAACGTCGAGGCACGCAAAGGATAACGTTGCTTAAATAATTCAGCGAATTCGACGAACGATCGTGCAACGATATTTTAACGAATAACCCCGTTAAATGATACTTTTGTCTATAAGATCCGAAGAACGTCGCGATTAAGAAACTCTCTAGAAACGCCAGGAAGACGGTGCGTTCACCTCGTGTACAATGTATGATGAACTGCACGGTTGCTGTGTGTACGACGACGGTAACGAGCTGGAATATAGCCCCGGGATAGGGTTAATCTTATGTTCACTTTCACTGCGCTGTCCCTGCGCCGCGATTGGCCCTTTTCAGGACCGTTGATTTATTTATCCAGGAAATTCCATCCGTAATTTTTATTGGAAAGCGTTTGGCGACAGTGCGGTGAAAGCGAACGTTGAATCGACTTCTCCGGGGGTCCCTTATTCGCCCGACACGAAATTGGCTCGCTTTGCTACGCTATAATTTCGTGTCGATAGGGATCAGCTTGGATCGATCGTCCTTGCTTCCAAAATCAGCAACGCTATAACGCAGTTACGCGCGACCGTAATAAAAAGGAAAAATGGGCGCGCGAAAAATAAACAATCGGTGAAGGGAATTTCGATCGAGGAAATCGGGGAATTCCAGTCGCAGGCGATGCGCGATGAGAGATAAAACCGACAGGGGATCTCCCAGCAAATTAACGCGTACGCGTCAACGTTTCGGGTCAATCACCGACCGGGGTCTTTTACGCGAACCGAGAAACGAGCACTCAAACTCTCCGTTTCGCGATTGAAACGGGATATCCCGTTCTCGCAAGTTTCATTGGATTCGGTGCCAACGGTTCACAGATACGTAGCACATACAGTTACGTACGATCGATGATTAGGTAATAATTGCGACAATCGATAACGATGGACGAAAATTAACGAGTTGCGATGAATAATTTCTCACTGATTTCATTTGTTCGTGTATCCAAAACTGAACACATTATATGTATTAATTAGTATGTATATTAAATATTAATAATAATGTATAATATATATTAATATATATTAACGCAATTAATATATATTACATTAATATATATTATACTAATATATTAACACAATTAATATATATTACATTAATATATTAACACAATTAATATATATATATAGTAGTTGTATATTCACTATACACAATATATAATCAAATAAGATTTGTCTCGATTTCTGCGAAAACGAAGTTTCCGATGACAAGGATTTATTGTATATTTCCGACTTATTTTTTTACGTAGAGTCAGCCCCTGTCCGGCTGTGCCACCAGTTGGACGACACCCGGTGTACATAGAGATACATACATAACACATATACTACATACGCTGACATATAAACGTTAACTTTGTCAACGTGACGAATAATTGTAGGTTTCGCGTGGGAAATAAAACGAATTATTCTTTTAAGCAAAATCGTCACAATGAAATGTCGATTACAGAAATTAACGCGTATGTAAATATATTTTATCGCTTCGATCTACCGTTTCAACATTTTAAGTGTTTGATTAACGGTTTATCTTATCGTTTGAATTTGTTCTATATACATACATTCCAGGAACGTGTTTCGAATAGTTCTGAGTCACAGTGCACATTTTGTTGTATGTTTCCTGTATATTTTGTATTTCGAAAGCTTCTCGGCATATAAAATGCATCGCTGTGTTATTAAAAATTGTAAAAGAATTATTTATAAGCGTTATAATATACACTGTTCCGTTTCTCTTGTCTCGGATGGCTTTCGCGGTTAAATTTCCATTAAATCTCTACCTCTGCCAGCCACGGATCCCGCTGTCTCCCCTTTTTTTCTTCGATTCTCGAGAAACCGTTTATCTTCTTCTATTTTCATCGTGCTCGACGCATCATTTTGTGCAACGTCGAATAGGTCATCCGAGTCTAGAAATTCTTTTTCTCTGTAACAACAAGGCCCCTTCGTGAATTCCCTCAAGTTTTGTGCAACGTTCTCCTAAAAAACGTCGACTCCCTTTATTAAAATACAAGAGTAAAATGAGAATAAAGAATTAAAAGAATAATACAAAAATAAAATGAATATTTTCATTACACACACACACACACACATACCAGAACACAAATTTTGATTCCATCTATCCACAACTGACAAAACGATTAACAGAAATCTGCAAATACTACGTACCGTAATCAACGAATTATATTATTTATAAACGAATTCTACGCTCTACGTACAATGTGTCGCGAAACGATGCAACGTATCGAACATTTGAAAAGACTGGGAAATGTGCCGTCTTGACGTTTCTCCTTAACTCGTATTCCCGATCGGAGCGTGGCAAAGTGAAAAAGCGAACAGAAAAACGCTGATTACGAAGAACCGGAGAAGATAGAAAGTAGCATCGAGAGGCCTATTAACTATTATAAGGTATACCTCGGTTCGCACAGTTCCGCGTGTCGAATAAAAAAATGGGCGTGCGTGGAATGCGCTAAATAACGCGATTTATTTACGCGCCTCCTTATATAAACAAGAATGTAATCGGATAAAATATAACACAATATTCGAAGGATCGGATTCATAGGAAAATATTTTCCGCATTTTTTTTTTCTAATTTTACAGCACCTTGACATATTATTGTTAGTCGCCGAGGATACTTGGAACTAAGCTGAAACAGAGGGAATATTATGTTTCTCGCGATACCGTGTGCATGTACCTTGAAATCATGAAATTTGAGAACCCCTGACTAAAGCGACCGAACATAGACCGAACAAACAAATTGAATAATATAGTCTCGACTGTCATTGACAATGGTTTTGACCATTTATCATAAGATAAAGAAACTCCTTCTGCGTGTTATAGATAATTCGTAATCAGTAAAAACGACGATCAATAAGTCATACGCTACATGCAGAAAATAGGAGTACAAATTGTAAACAAGATAGTATATTATAAAAAAAAGGTTTGCTCGTTCCACGTAATATTACAATTGATTCATAACATGTTATTGTATTGCGCGATGCAAGCGTGTTGTAATAATTGGAGCTTCTTGAAGCGTACCTCTTGTACGACGCCCGTCGTTTCATGGCAAACGCGTCGTTTCATGCCAATGAAAGGGTTAAAGCATCGAATATCTTCAACGGGTCCGTTCGACGTTTCCTTCATTTAGTTTGACGTAATTGAAACAATCTACGAAGTAAAAGAATATAGTAATTTTTCCCTAATTCGCGCTCAGATTGTGCACAAAAATGGACAATTTTTTTGTTCGCAAGCTGAAGGTTAAATTAGGGAGAATTTAGCGTACTTCGACCGAAAGAAAGATATCCCAGATTTCCGTTTCTGTTCGCGGAAATCCGCGTTTTCGGTTAATGCGCGCTGTTGTCCATGTCCGAGGCTAAATTATATGGAAATAATAAGCGGCTTGAGCCAATTTTTATTGCATAATACGACCGCGGAGCATCGGAGTGAGCGACCCAATTACAAACATTTATGGTATTAGATAATACTTTCGAATATGTAATTAGTGGACTGCGGATCTTTATGCAAAATGAAAATTTTCCAAGACGATTGTAACGATCGTAACGTCGTAAGTCGAATAGTTACAACTTTGCGGCGTCACTGTCGCGAATTGGCATTACAAGCGATTGTAATATATAATCGATACGATTTCTTGAAAGAATGTAGCCTACGAATTTCAGGAGAAAACGGAAAAAGGAACGCGTGCAAAAATGTAAACGAATCGCGCGATAATAAAAATCCTCCGCTATCGGAAATCGGTTTACCGAGTGGAAAATCCTTACCTTCATAAACCAGAAGAAAACATCTGTTGGTCGAGCGAGCTTTCTCTCCATATTTTCCTCATTGCTTTTTCTCATGAGAAGCGAAGGAAAGTTCGCGAACACATTTCTCCTATCCGGTACTACGCATGTAAAATACATCTGTTTCGTAGAAATGATCGTCCAGCAGAAATATTCGGAAATAAATTAAATTGAAATTCTCGCGTGAATTTAACGCGAATTCTCGCGAGTGAATTAAAATTCTCGCGCTAAGGAGAAACGTCGGGAGCTATAAAATGCGACGGTTAAAACCAACCGAGTGCGTGCACTTAATTTTTTCTAAATAATCGCGAAGCGCGACCGATTCGAATAGAACAAGCCTTACCAGTTCGAAGAAGAATTGCTTACGTTGAGTCCATGAAAATAGCCTGATTTATGCCGTATTTGGACTCATTTCAATTGGAAAAATCTCGGATTTCCATTATTACGACTACGCCGAGCGTGCACTTCCTCGCATCGAGAGACCAGCTGACTTGTGTCGCATGTCCCTCTTGCGTTTCTGAACCGTGAAACGAGGTAATGATAACATTCGAACTACCGCGGTTAAATGTCCGAAGACACGGTTCTAATCGGGGTCAGTGGCCTCCGTTTTTCGATTGTGTGCCCGTACGTGTGGCATACCGATCGGTCGACAGCCAGCGAGGCTCGATGCGTCGAGTCGAGCCATCGAAACCGTCGATTCTAGTATCTCAAGAATTTTCATTTCGTGTGAACATTGTTCCATATTTCTGGCACGCCCGATATATAGATCGAATCTTAAATATCACTCGTCGCTTTGTTTAAACGTTTCTGCTTCTTAGAAGCGCGCCTTCGCTTCTTTCTACACGCTTCGCTTGCACTTAACAATCTTCTTTGTATCTCGAATTATTTTCACCAATTTTATTACGCTTCTGTACAAGTCGCATAAACTCGTTGTCAGAGTAAAGCGTTAATGTCTCCCTTACCGACTACAGTAATGTCTCCCTTTCTGACGATCAGATTCTGCAGAGAAATGGACAATTATCTTGCGTCGGTTAGGGAGACGTTGCTGTATAGCTCGCTCTGTGTTCTTTCTTTTAAATCGCAGGTACTATAGCGAATTAAAACGCGTCTTTTATACCTTCCGTGCAAATTCTTCGCGACTAAATAAATTACTATTTCGCGAACCGCCGATTAAAATTTCAGCTTCATCATTCCTTCGGACGAGTTCTCGCGAATGAGTTCGCAATATTATCGCATGCTTAAACCAATACTCTTGCTCGGCTCGCGCGTAAATTTACACGTAGGAAAATAATAAATGTACGCTCGATCGCGCGTGCAGATGTTGTTAAAAGAATTAACGATGTATCGTGTTCCATTGCAGGCGGTCTAAACCCATAACTTTCCTTAGGATAATGCGAAGTCTGGAGAGGTTATCAGGTAGCGATCAAGACTACGATCAGGAGATGTACATCGACCTGGACGACGCCTCCGTCGATTCGCTTACCGGAAAACGAAGTCGACATCATGTCGTTAGCGCAGAGGTAAGACCGTTTTTCTATTTTCAGAGTATATATACGGTCGACAGAGAGATACGCGCGTATCGCGTAACAACGCTATCAGAATTTAAGTAAAGATACCGTTTCATGGAACTACTCGATTATAAATATACAAGTTTATTGATATTAGCACCGCGCGCGTAATTTTATGTTTACGCGCAATTGTGCACCCGTTTCGCTTTCATTATTAATGAATTCACGTGAACGAATGGAACGCGTGCTCGTAAAAGTATATTCTTTTCTTCAAGAATCTCTGAAATATCGCTTCATCGAATTCTTTATCTGCTAAACAGTAGATTTTGTAGATTCTTTATCTGTTAAACTTTTCAATTAGAAATCACAAAACACAGGTTTGTTGTGTCAAGCTGCAATTACATTCTGCAAAATTTCAACCCTTCTCCGTCCATTTTCCCCTCTCAAGTGCTTTTCCAAATGATCAGGCGCATCGGAGAATTTTTTTCAGATTTTCGTTGTAATCTGCGATCGCAAAAGAATGCAGAACCAATCGAAAAATTGCAAATTTCTTGAAAACGAAATAATATATTGTCTTTACGATCGGCCTCTCCGATCGCTGATCGCTGCTTTTAAAGCAGCGCGTAATCAATGTTAACGATGCGAGTAAAAAGCATCGCACACATAAATTGGGAGAGAAAGAGCCGAGATATCGAGATATTAATTTAACAGGAGCAATCGAGATATAAATTTCGACGTGGAGATACTTTCTCTGGCTTTCACGGTTCTGCCGTGTCGAGCACTGTTATCCAAGTTCAAAATTGATTTCCTTCTGTTTCCGATAAATTATCAACGCCATATTACGAATCGATAGAGGATTTGAATAATCAAAAGCTTAAATAATAAAGATCGAGGAGAGTCAATTTCGGTTAATCGAGATTTTACTCTAGTTTTCTAAGATTCGACTTCTTCAACGTCCAACAATCCTTAAATATCTAATTTTCGCGTATAAAAATATATTCTATACAGAAGATTCGATTTAAAAAATAATTGAATATTATGAAAAACTTCTGTCGACTTCATTTTATACGCCAATGTATTAACGGGCATTCGAGTCCGTTCCTTTTCATTGTGCGCCACCGGAAGATCAACAAAGGCTGACGAACAAAAGTAACGCAACAGTTTTAGGTGCAAGTACGAACTCGCGCTTGTCAATCAACGCGTTACATACATTATTTCTCGCGATTACAACGATTGCATTTTCCATGCAACATTAGAACCATATAATTTGTATTAATTCGAACTGGCACGTCGAATGACGTCACGGCCGCGTTTTTCATACTGGTCCCAGATTGGTCATAAGTGACCGGGCAACCTTTCTATTCTAAAGGCCTTGGATTACTGCTGCACGTAAAATTAATATCTCGATATCTCTCGGCTCTTTCTCTCCCAATTTACATGCGCGAGGGGCTCGTCTTACGCGCGCGGTTTTACGCTCGACAATCGTTGAGACCGTCGTCGAAATTGATCGCGCGCTGCATTAAAGGAATGAAACGCTGTTAAATGTTGCGGACGTTTTGGTCGAAGAAAGGGTTAATTAGTACGCGGCTAACTCGACTGCTCGGAGCGAGACGCTGCCCGATATAAACGTTGCAGACGCGATCGACGTCGCTGCACCGCGCTTCGACGCGAACCTAAACGCAACAGACAGAGCTAAAAACTCGTATCGTGTCAACGAAAATAGCAATTTTATTTTTCTATCATTTTTGAACCTCTGTGCCCTCGGGAGCGAGGTCTAGAGGGCCCTTCGATCGGCGTTCGCCCTGGGCTGAAAATCGCTGCCCGTGCGGGCAAGCCGTTGAACAGCTCTGCCGTAGAATGTGGATCGTGGAAAGGAATCGCGAAGCACCGCTTACTTTCTAACTCGAATTCCATTGCCGCGCAAATATTAAGCCGGCGATAATTGGCGATCGTCCGATTATAAACACCTGGCGACTGGTCAATCCCGAACGTTGTGTTCTCCGCAGGGTTCGGTGTCTGGCAAACTACACGCGACATTCATTTCGAAGCATTACAACGGAATTTGGCATTTATTTTGGTCGATTATTCGATCTTAGATCGTTGCAACGTTTCTTAAAGGAGCCGCGAAATTTTTGGTCTCGAAAAAGCGAGGCAAATCGAGTAACTCTGCAAGCCAATAAAGTAGCATACAATGATAAATAAAATTAGATATCGGCGCGAACTTAATCTTATCTGTTATAGCTACAAGACGCTCTTTGATTTGCTAGATATACAAAGATACGATTGGTTGCGCGGCTAGCGATTGTATCTTATAACGAAAATAATTTAGAAACGCGTTGACGTATTCCGGAGATAGTGCAGATCTAAACACGTCAATCGGTGCCATATAGTGGGCGTATTCCGATAAAATTCATAAAGTTTTCTAGAAAATCGAATATCTCAAAAAAATCGTCTCGCGCTTAGCGAATTAATGTACAATTTCTTCGTTGAACGTTCGTCTCACGCCTGAAATTATGCTGTTGTTGTGTAATAAATTGGAATATAGGGACTGGGATGGGCTAAATAAGGCTTTTAATAAAAATGTCAGGCTGTCCAAAAGTACCTGGTCGCTGCAATATACAGGGTGTCCCAAAAGTTACTCAAATTTGGGAAACGAGGGGTCATTCGAAGCGCCTTTTTCCTTAGCTCAAACGCAATCTGCGGCTTTGTTTACAATATCGCGGCGATATATCTGAATCGGATGCGTCTTCGCTGATCGTCGACGACTTTCCGAATCGTTAAGGAGAGGGAAATTCGTTCGAAGGCAATTCGGAGGCCACATGCCACGATTCGGAGACAATTCGGAGGCCACGATTGGACGGAGAACTTGACCATCGACGGTCGTTGCATTTGGTCACGTACCTTGTAGCTCCGCGGTTTTTCTTACCTGACTCACAATTCAAGCAGACCATTTTGCGTTGTCTTCCGGGAATTCGAGACAAAGGAGCCGCGTCGCGTGCCGCATCGCGCGTTTGACCGACTCGGACAATAACAAGAATCGCATAGGCGTTGGACCAGCACAGGGAAATTCACAGCAACCCGATATTTTGCATTCTAGGGAGAATTTACTGTATTTCGGAGCAGGTCTTAACTATTTAATTTAGTCCCGTCAAAGTAAACAGTTTAATTTTCTTAAAAAAATGTGTACTATTTATGCTGTTCTATTGTGTTTGAATCGATGACGAAAAGAAACACGAAAAAGTAAGAAATAATTTCACGCAGACGTCACTGTACACACTGTCTTAAAATGCTTTCGATACAGTCACGATCATTTAATTGTAAAATTCACTTCACATCAATTTGGGAATTATTCGTTCGGCAAAAGGGAACGTGTGATTGCAGTTTGCGAATAAACCAAAGTTTCTTTCACGATTGCTTCCGACTTTCGTTTCGTGTACACTGTAAACGCACAGCGAGCTCCGATTACAAGGGTACACTCGTAAAAGAAAGCGTCGATTCAAGGGTTTGCAAAAGAAGATTCTTCGATTCTTTTCTTCTACACTCGAAATTCGCGGAATAACGCGAAAGCACGCTAATATTTGTTGTTAAACGAACGAAGACGACGATTGCTGTGGAAAAAAAACTTACGATCTCATTTCATGCTTGTTTCTGATACGAATCAAAAGGTGGGCGAGGAGAGTGACAGTAGTGGTAGTGAAAGGAGCCCGAAACAAGCAAAGAGAAGAAATCGTGGAGGACCTCCGACAACCAGAAGACGAAAAAGTGGGATTTCTGCGCGAGAAAGGAACCTCAGGCGGCTCGAGAGCAACGAGAGAGAAAGAATGAGAATGCACTCCCTGAACGATGCTTTCGAGGTAATTTCTCCATTCCGTATTACATTAAACTAATTCGACGAAACACCCTGTGTACATTGACCAGTGTTTCAAAATTATCGACTCGCCTACCCGAAATCGAATAATTTAACGAAACTAAGATCATTTCTTTGTTATTCATGTCGTTCTTTATTTGTTCGTATAGATTTCCCAGTGCATACCGTATTATCGCGAAAACTGTTTCGCTAAAGAGAACAAATAACGCAAGGTTATAAGCTATAATCTACTCCCTAATCTACTTTATTTCATATAACGATGTAGGTATACGCACAATTCCGCCAATCTTTTCAAACACACACGTCGTTCATAAAGACATTTATACACGAAGAATTCAAATTGCTATGCGACATCGATGTAAAACTTTGTAGGAAGAGGGAACTTCGCTGCACGTCTTTTCGATAAAAAGTTGCAAAGTTACAAGTAAATAATCAATATTTTTATCATTATTATTACAACGTTGATGTTAATTGAAGTAGTGCACATATTATATAATATATAGTTGAACCTCACGTTGCTTCCTATGTTTGAGACCGATTTCGTTATTTGCTTGTTCTATTGTTTGTGCGATTAGCCGTTTGTTCCAAATGGGTGGCGTAAGAAGGAGAGGCGGACCGATTTCGTCCCTGCTCCTACGATTTTTAAAAGGATTGCGACGCTACCGTAGCGAATATCATTTAAAAAGTAACGTACCTGTGAACACCGATGGAAACATTAGCATGTTTCGCGGGAACTCGTGGAAGTAAACTTTTAGCGCGAAGGAAATTTTTCCGATAAATCCACCCCTCCTTCTTACACGCCGTCCATCCTAAGTTTGCACTGGGTTTTGCTCTTGCCACGAACGTACCTTCCTCCTTATTCGTCGATTCTTTAACCAATCAGCTTCCCCGTTCCCGTTCAATTATTATTCCCGTTTAATTATTCGTTCATCGTCTCGCCATCCCCGAATTATTTCCCGATGAAACAAATGTGTTACAAAATTGTATCGCATCCATCTATCTTGTAGAACATGGTTGAAACTTGGTTGTACGTTTGCGTAGAACGATTTTGCTTGTTCGTAATATCTCGTTGTTTTCGTTACGTGCCAGTTAAAACATCCGAAAGTATATTTTCAAGTATTTAAATCACTGAACATCAGCATGACGGAATTATGCACTTCTACGAAAACACGTCTAGGCATATTTTATTATTTCATCCAACTTCATCCACTGCAATTTACGATAACCTTGTACGTGTGTTATTTTTTTTTTCTTTCGCCCATAAAGCTAGCAAAGTTTCTGGACATTACCAGCGACTTAGCACCGGTAAACTGTCGGTAATTACAGAAACAATGATATCGGTTTCAGCAACTGCGCGAGGTTATACCGCATGTAAAAATGGAAAGGAAACTCAGTAAAATAGAGACGCTCACACTGGCAAAGAATTACATAATGGCCCTGACGAACGTCATATGTGAAATGCGCGGTGAAGAGCAACCATATACGTAAGTAGCTTATCGGTTTTTGCACGTGGTTATTGTACGCGAGTTAATCTACTAATCCACGCGTAAGTAGGGTTCGTTATGATCCATTTTACCCAAAAAGAGTTTCCACGCGCTGTGCTTCCTCCGGTCAATATCGATAACATTCTAGACATTAATGTTTAATTAATTGGTTCGTACTAATTTCTTTTTTTGCATTATTTTCGCCTCGTCAAGATTTATCACCTTATAATAAAATATAATATTATAATATAATATATATATATATAATAGGTAGTTTAATCGTGACAGACTCATGTTCTGGTGTGCATGACACCTCGTGCGTTCCATATGAAATTTTTATGCGGTGTGTACAGTGAAGATTAACGATAGGTAACACCCCTAAATATATAAATGATATTTTAATTTATGACAATTCCGTGTCCGAACAGAATTCGATAAGTAATTCGCGAAGCTATTTTATCGATAAATAATTGTAAATCCACTTCGTGATAGGACAGTGCATTGACTTCGTACAATGTACGATGAACTGCACAGCTGATCTGTACAAGACGGTGACGAATAGAAAGATACAATCTCTGGACAGGTTACTCTAACGTTCACTTTCACTGCACTATCGCTAAACGCCGATCACTTATTCGATAGTATATTTAAGGATGGACTTTTTTTTTCCTCGATTGATATGCGTGGCCCTGGGAAGCCTCGATTTTTCTACGAGACGCGTTCGAAGTTCGCGCACGAATCTCTGAAAGCTAGCATTTTTAAACATTTTTTTTTCTCGAAGTCTATATTGCACTTAATTTTGTATTCTTCGTATATTGATCGAAACATGCTTGTATCACCATTAAATAACTGAAATACATATATTTACACACGTGTATGAAATTACGGCAGACATTTGCATTTAAGCATCGTGTAACGAATAATTAAACTATTTAATTACTATTCTAATTTCATGGTTTTGCACTTAGTACGCTATATTTGCTCGGAAAATTATTTAAAGGATGTAATATCTTGAATTTCAGGGTTTTAAAGGAGAGAAGACAAATATATTGTTATATTATTATAGTGTATTATATATTATATTTATTATAACAGAGAGAGAAAAAAATTTGTAGGAACATGGAACGTAAATTTGGATGACTACGTATTTGTTTTACAATCGAGTCCCGAACAACATTGTTAACTATTAACATATTAACTTACCGAATCGAAGTACGAAGGTAAAGCGAAGACAATGTTTTATCAGCGACCTTTGCTTTCTCGGTCATTGTTATCTTCGTGTTTGTTCAAATGAAGTAACTTTGATTAACTTTTGACTTCGGTGAACCGGTCTCGAACCAAATTTACAGCTTTCGCAAGTATTCGCGCGCTGGTCGATTCCATATTAACCGATCGGCTGAACAATTGTTAAACGGCCGATATTCCGTGGATTACGGCAAACGAAAAAGATGAGAAATCAAGTACCATTGATAACGCAATACGATAACATTTTATCGACTTATAATTTCATTATAGTTGTTGAAGTTAAAGTGCAACTTCGATCAGCATCGAACGATGTCGAGGAACTTGCGCGAACGATTTCCCCCCGATTAATAGAGCAGCGCATCGTTAAAAAGAGGCTGATAACGATAGATACAATGTTTCAATAAAATATGATTCGACGCGTACACAACAATCTCGCTGCATACGACAGACCGTATCTTAACGCACACCACGAAATCTTATCTTCTGTGAAAATATTTATCTTGCTAAACAAAAGCCAACGGCACGTTTCACACGCGAAGATGTTAAAAGTCGAGTGTAAAGATAGAAAGTAAGCTTTGAAGTAACAACAAAAGTTTGAGGTAACGAACGGTCTTTCGAAGAACGTTAGAAGCGACCTATTATTGCAGAAGAGTCTTTCATCGCTTATTGGTCGATCCAATGTATCGATATACAGCTCTCCAATTGGTCTTAAAATATAGAGAAAAGTTTTCCAAATATAGTGGCATACAATTTATTGCTTCTTTCTCGAAAACTGTGGCTGATGGAGCAATTGAATAATTTTACAATATTAATATGAAATAAAAATAATTACTGACGATTAATTCGAATATTAACGAAATTAATAAAATAACAAAATATTAATAAAACTTGTGGAGTATCATATTCAAATCGTTCGTCATACTTTAATATAAATTGCTAGAACTAATAAAAGCTATACTAAAACCATAAATCGCTAAATAATAGTCGTGTAAGTTATTAATATTATATTATTATTATATAAACTAGTAATAAACTAGTTTCGTCGGGCCACTCGTCGACGGAGTCGAACTGGCTTCGTGTAAAAAAACGTGTATAACTGAAACGAAATTCATTTGCAGATTTGTCGACGGTGAGTGTGGCTCTAGTAGCGGCGACAGTACTGGTCAGCTGGAATTAAGCGGTGGCGAGCAACCCGAGGAAGCATCCCCAGCATCGATACACGAGACCAATAATAACAATTTGCTGCACGAAGACTTAGAGCGCAGGATACCGTAGCTTGCATAATTATTCGTAAAACCTGATCGAGCTTCGTTGGTAAAACTCGTCGTGCGTGTATGTACGGAAAGGAAGAAGCGCGCGCGTTTGTGTGCCTGCCTGTATCTGTGTGTCGATTTCTGCGTGCTCGCGTGCGTGTATGTGTTCGCGTGTGGTCGTGCGCCCGTGCTCGTGCAATGTGGCAGACCGATGTATAAATCGGTTCGAGAAGAATGAACATTTAAAAGAATATAAACACGGGAGAGAGAGAGAGAGAGAGAGAGAGAAAGAGACAAGTCAAAGTTCGAAAACTCATCGAACCACACGTAGGAGAAGAAGAAGAGGACCAACGAAGCGTCGTCGGGCTCTGCTGATGCGAAACCGTTGAAAAACCGTTTGAGACTTATCGAAGAAGATGCAATTCGGCGTCTACGAAATGATCCGTCCAAGGTCAACCTCTGGAGATCTTTCGAAGGCCAATGAGATGCAAGTTTGCCAGAGAATTTAAAAAAGGACCGACTTCACGGGCAATTAAGCCGAAGAATTCCTTCCTTTTTTTCCTCGTTATTTTGCTTGTTTTTCGAGTGACACGAACCGACGGTCCTTGAGACATCCGAAATTTTTGGACGGAAACTATGTCAGCGTTAAACGACTTTTATCGTACTCGCGCGAATCGATTAATTGTCGTGACTTTACATACCTTTTTGCATAAGCTCCGGCCGAATGATATAAACCAGTCGGCGTGCCTTGATTCTTTGTGAAAACACGATTTCATCCGAAACTTCGGTCTCGAGACAATCTGATTTCAAAATCCATTTCGTTCGACTCGAGTCTCTAGTATTCGACTTGTAACATTTATTCGGATCGCGAACGATGCTTTGCGATAATAGAGTGGCTATTGCTACGTACGCTGATCATTGATGCTCGGATGCTCTTTCGAGGGGAATAGCTTTCTTCAAACTTAGATTTTTTGAAGATGTTGGAAGGGCTACTTTACTAGAATAAATATACTAATATCTGAAACAATCTCTGCAAAAATTGCAACTATCTGCAACGACGAAAAGAATTATATTTCTATTATATATTTATTTACATTATGATATACAATTTCACCCTAATTCGCGCTCAGACTGGACAATTTGAGAAGAGGAGATACCGAATCGCCAATATATATATAATATATAATAATAGTTAATATATTCTCTTCGAAAGAGCGTCCGAACATTGACGAGAGTCGATAAATAACAAGAAAATATTCATCTTCTTCCTCGAATCCAGAAATTTTTAGATGCACATATATCGAATTTTAACGGGATAATTATTCAAATTGAATTTTTTCTAAACCGACGCCAGCAGACGGAACAAATTTATTCCGCGTTCTTTTTGAACTTTTCACAAGGAATCGCTGTTGCCCGGCTCTGTGGACTCTGTACGATAGAATCGAGCATGTCAGTCGAACGTCGGAAACGAACGAAGAAAGGCAAGCGCAAAAGTTAACGGAATAGGTTTAAGAAATGAAACCATGACTTCGCCGTTTCTCGGTCTACGCTAATTGTTTCATTGAAATTCGAACGACGGAGAGAGGCTGGCTTGATTTTCGAAAGATCTTGGTGATGACATCGATAGATCGGATCGCATCGACGACGATAACGATCAGTGTGACGCAGAAGTGTGAAAAACTGTGATAAAATTTCGTATTAGAACCTCCGTTACACATAATTCCGTGCGTGATGTCGTGCAAAATACTTTTCTCTTTTTTTTTTGTATTTCCTGTTGTGACGATTGTTTACGGTGTACGAATTGGACGGAAGCCGCTGAGAACGTTCGTTGCGTGGAGCGATCGTAAAAAACGATCGGGATGCCGTCGAGCCGACGCGAACGACAACGCGAAACGGATCGACGATCACCGACCAATGGAAAGGCGGATCGAACGAATCGAAGCGCGTACGATCACGCTGAAAAGAAAAGAAAAGACATCTCGGTTTCTCAACGAAATCCGAACGTTCGGCGGGGGTCGCAGCTTCGAAAAATCTCGTCGATCGTTCTCGAACACGACTGTTCGGCACCACGATTAAACGATTAAGTAACGATTTTTAATGAAGAGTACAATATCTTTGAATATCATTTTATAGATTGTATTTTCGCGAGGTTCGCGAATTTAAAGCATTCAGTTGTCAAAGGGGAATACGAATTATTTAGCAAGAATATCGAATATTCTACACACCGTGTATTTAAATACGTACAGTAATGTCTCCCTTACCGACGCTCGGATTGTCCACTAAAATGGACAATTTTGGAAGAGGAGATTATTCGAGCCTTGCGGCTCGTTTTTTTAATTGTGGACAATTTATAACTATAAAAATAAACCGCAAGGCTCGGAATAATCGAGCCTCTAATAATATCTCCTCTTGCCAAATTGTCCATTTTTGTGCGCAATCTGGGCGTCAATTAGAGAGACATTACCGAAGACGATCACGAAGACGGAGCGATCCTTCAACGTTTCGATCGACTCGAAAGGAAAGTAATTCGTGAATATATCGCAAACAAATGGATTTCAAAGAGATAAACGCGCTCCTCGAGCATATGCGTGCACGCGTACCGTCTATGCGCATGTATATACATTACTATAGTGTATACGTGTTGGCGCATCGATGATTGATACGATGATTGTTGGTCGTAAACGTGGTAATATTATTTTTGCTATAGCATCCCGAGAATGGGGACCAGAGACATCAACTTAAGTTACCAGATCCTACACCCCTTCGCACACAAACACACGCATACGCGTACAAAAACTGCATACATACATACATACATAAAATACACGTAGACACGCGCGCGCAGGAAGAGCGTGTACATGCGTCTATAAATGCGCACACATCTATACAGCGTCTAGCTTCGAGCAATGGATCCGTGATGTTTGCACCGATTCTTTCGGTGGTAGATGAAAGAACGGGGCGATGCATTTAATAGAAACGTCGACGCTCAAAACTAGACGTGTACGAATTTCATTGCGTTTAACTAGTGAATTTTTATACTTTTTATCGACTGTTTACACTATAAATCCCCCTTTCCTCTTTTTAATTCGCTTCATTTCTCAAATGTTTACTACGTATAATTTTCCCTGTGTTCCACTTAACTAGAAGTTAGGTGCGATGATCGATTCCTTTGCGCGAACGCTTGCAAAACTACACAGAGAGTTTCTTTACAAAGGCGAAGCTTCCTGTCGGAACATTTCACGTTCGTATCCTCGAATGGACTGAACCCGGTGTGTGTGCCACGTTCTATGTACATAAGCGCAAACGTACATAATAAGCAGAATGCTCATCAAGCTCGGCAAACTCGGCATCGCGCTCGGACCGGTCGACTCGCACGAATTCGCAGCAAATTTTTCCCTAATTCGCGCTCAGATTGGACAAGTTGAGAAGAGGAGATAAGCCAACGACCATAAAAGCGAGACGCGAGGCTCGAATAATCGAATCTCCTGTTCTCAAATTGTCCATTTTTATGCGCAATCCGCGCGACAATTGCGATCCGCAGCAAAATAAGTCGGATCTCGTTTCGAAGCATTTCGCATCACATTTACCCTCACTCCTTCGAAACGAGTGACTTATTTTGCTGCGAGCCGTGCTCTTATGGCATCCCTTCGTCGACCGATTCGAGCGCGACGTCGGCTGCTCGTACCTAATACGACAGAAAACTGGAACAATTGTTTTAATTGCCGTCGTACAGGATGCGACGTTTCAGCGAAAACAGTGAAATATCTCGCGAGGTATCGAAATTGCTTGATTCGAAGGGACGAATTAGCGGTTATTTCGATAAAATAGTGGTGGCTGAGATTTCAAAGTCAATTCAACTTTTTCAAATGGGACAATACGTAACTTTTTGTTTATAATAAAACGTTAACAGATCGTAGATAAGAAAACGTGCTGTCCCATTCTAAAAGAACGACTTGGCCTTAAAATCTCGGCTACGACCACGCTCGCGCAAAAACTATAAAAACCACGTAGTTCGCTCCTTTAAATCGAACAACCTTCCTCGGAATATTATTTCGATAACTTCGATGCCTCGCGAGATATTTAACCGTACACGCTCGAACATCGCGTCGCGTACACGTAACCGTACACGTAACTATCTTCCATACTTAAGATTAAATTCATGTCCGGTTTTCGTACGTATCGAGGAGTTCGAACAGTAAAGTAGACGTATTATCATTCTCCATTCGCGTAAACGATTTTGAAATATTTTAACACGTGCGAACCGAACGTTCGACGAGCATTAAAAAAACAAACGGCTTATCGATAAACGCCGAAGTTTCGCCTGTGTAAGAATCCTTTACGGCGATACTTTCATATTGATAGTTTTCGTCATTTATGTAACTACTATGCATACCACTCGAAAGTTGTGGTACACGTGTTGAGAATAAAAATTTTTTCAAATATACGAGATGACGAAAGAACTTCGTGCGATTTATTACCGTGTCACCGTCATCATCATTGTCATCGCCGTCTTATTTTGTTGCAGAAGCTCGAAGCGCCGAGCACGCCGTTCCGTATTCGCTAAAATTTAACTCATTTTTTAATTGTCAACGTCGTCCGTCTACGGTCATGATATTATAGGTCATTCGACTCCACTCGATGTAAACAACAACGTCGCGCCATAATAAAAAATGAAACGGAATAAAAATATCTACGACCTTGAAAAAATCATTGCAACGACTTCGATGCAAGTGCATTCTTTGTTACCATCCGATGCGCGCTTCGAAACCATTTAAATACCGCTTTGTAATTTTATCTACCTTTCGTAATAACGAAAACACCCTGTATATATCATTTCATCGATGTACAGTAATGTCGAGGCTTCTCATCGCTTCCGAGATTCCGCAATTTGTCCGCAGCTGTCACGATCGGTTTAGATCGTGATAAATTCGCGTTTGAACGAAGCCGGTCATCGAAAGCGGATAAAAATAGGAGATGTCATACTGTTCGAGGCAAAGGCTTGCACCGTATTCCTTAGGCTTTGCTTGAAAACGAATGTGCTTTCGAAAAATGAGAAAATCAAAGTCGCTGCACCCTTCCATCGCTCCTTCCATGTAACCGGTCCCAGGATGTAATCGGTCCCAGCGCGGCCCAATCCGAAGGGTAGTTCTCGTCGCGTAGCAGCCCCGCGGGGGAGGATCAGGGAGGATGCCATGGGTGCCGTTGGATTTCCCCACCGTCGGCCTCGCGCCAATTTGCTGGTAAATGAGATCGGTGTTGGTCTGGTTAATTATTTTTCTAACATTCGGCAGTTTAACATTAAATATTTCATGTAGTATCGGCACTAGTTCTCTCTTCGCGGATATCTAAAAAAAAACTATTGTACAGAATCATGCCCCCAGCAATGCATTAATAAATCATTGAACTCGTGCTGCTCTATTTATTCGGGTTATTGTTGCGATCTTTAAGATTATTCGCCTAAATCGGTACAGAGAAATACCGTGAGAAAATCGTAATTATTTATATTTCGAAAGCGTTCGGTTCACTTCGCGTTCGTTATTAAGAACGATCCCCCTATACTGCAGAGTCTTGCAAAATAATTCGTGAAACATAAATATGAATAAACTATATGCCTTTATTTACATTTCTCTGAAAAATATACAAATAGCCTCGAAAATATAGCGCGCCGCGTCCGAGAAAAACCGTTCGATCAATAACATTACGCCGCGGTGTCTTCCACGATCTCTGTTTTCTTACTCGGATCGCTTTTCTTATTGAGAAGCAATTGAATTTCGGGATAAGTCTTACCTTTCGTTTCTGGCAGAAAGAACGCCACCATTAAGAACGCGAGGAAACAGGATATCGAGAAGAAGAAGTAAACCGTGTGGGAACCGAGGCTGTCGCCGATCACTTGATACAGCTTCGAGACGGTGAAGCCGAGTATTCCGTCGAAAACGGTGACGATGGCGCCGGCGACGCCTTTCACGTCGGAGGAAAACAGCTCGCCGACGAGAGCGTTGGTCAAAGTACCCAGGCCGATTTGATAAGCAATTTGGAAGGCGATCACGTCGACCACGGAAAGGAAGTTCACCGAGGAGACGTCGGCGCCCCGCGCCTCGAGCATCAAATAGAACGCGAGACCGCCCAAAGTGACGAACGATCCCAGGCAGGAGATCATTAGGAGCGGCCGCCTTCCGGCTCCTTCCACCGTCGCGGTGGCGAAACCGCCGGAAACGAGCCCGACGGCCAAAACCAGAATGGTCGCCACGTTCGAGTCGATCCCAACCGCGGCCTTGTCGAAGAGGACTTGCAGATATTGCATCGTGCTGAAATTCCCGCTGAGTTGCTGGGCTGCCACCAGGCCGAGAATAATGTACAGAGCTTTCATGTTGTTCGGCAACCGCATGATTTTCAACCTAGTTATCCAAGTGTGCTTGATCGCCTGTATGCTCTGGGTCGAGCTCACCGAGGTGCGGGACTTGTGCGTTTCGGAGGGCACTCGCACGATTAAGTACAGCTCCCTGTTCGCCTCGTTGACGTCGCGGATGCCCTTGAAAAATGCCAAGGACCTGGACGCTTCCGTTCTGCAGCCCTTGGTGACCAAGAAGTGAGGGGTCTCGGGGAACCACGCGAAACAGGCTACGAACAGGATCGGAATCAGCAAGAGGACCGCTGCTAAAACACGATAAGACACCCAAGGCCCTATGCTGCACGTTAACAGAGACCCGGTGAAGACGTTCACCGCCGTTAGAGTACCGAGCGCGCCTCTGATATTAACGTCGGACACTTCGGAGATGTACATGGGATTCGCGGTGTAAGAGATTCCGACGCCCACGCCGAGCAGTACTCGCGCGATGTACAGAGCTACGACGGTTTTAGCGAACAGCACGATGATCCAACCGACGATGAAGAACACGCTCGAAAACATGAGGCAACGTTTGCGACCGAATCTGTCGGCTAAATAGGCTCCCGCGAACGGGCCGATCATAGAACCGATCACGGTTAGGGAGACGAGCCACGAACATTCGTCGTCTGTTAGTTTCATCGGCACATCGGCATCGTCAGAAGTTAGCCGAGACAGAGAAGTGGTTGTCCATCCGTATACCGTGCCGACCGCCACCATGGATAGTGTCGCTGAAATTTAAAAAGTGTTCGTGTTCGTTTTAAGAGATTAGAAAATTTACTCTTCTTTATTTTTCTTTCCCAGCCAGCCTAACAGAGAGATCACCTTCCCGGCAGCCGGCGAGCAATTTCTTTGCGCGCCGTTGTATTTACGATTTAAACAAATTCGATTTGTTCTTGGCACACGCCGAGAGCTTCTTACCTCCGCACCCTTGCGAGGAGAGCTCGCTCCAGGGTCGTCGCTCGCTTTTCGATGAGATTCGGTACATAGAGCTTTCGAAGCTGAATCCAATGATACCACGGTTTTTGGGGACATAATTGATATTAAAGTTGCCAATGAGAGGACAGAAAGACGCGCTGGATCACGCGGCAAGGAGCGAGGGGTGCTTCGCGAGGCACCCCGCCTTACCGCGACCTGCGAGCACCCCCGTCGCTGGGTTTTACCGACTACAGCTCGATGTTATAAAATATATTATATTTCATATTATAGAATAATTATCGCTGTTATCGAGATCGGTGAACAATTAAGCGAACCGACTGTTCCAATAAATGACTATTTATACTTGACAAGGTTATACGACAATGCCTAAATTCATTTTAATATCGCGCATAATACGAAAATGGAAACTTCTACTGGAGGATAATAACTTTAGGATATAATGCCTATTAATGCGTATTTATTTTATTTAGCACCAGGACTAATTATCTTATTAATAAATGATAACCAACTAACCAGAGATACATGCTAACCATTGTCGCCATTGCGTCCTCGTAGTTTCGCATGCTTTTTCTTCCGGCGCGGACACGATATTGTCCATCGATGATCCCTCCTTTCGCGAATGAACCTATAATAAGAACATTTGTTGCGTTGCTTATATTAAATATTATATCGTTCGAGCAGAGATTCTTTACATTTTACGCTACGAAATATTAGTAAAAACGGTTTATTTTTCATGCGAAAGACTAACCGATTCACAGGAGCGCGATTTTCTTTAATATCGTATCCGACTCTAGAAACCATTTTGGCTAAAAAAGTTACGCGTTCCTGACCACCGCGCATCCAATTTCGAAGCAAACTGTTTCAGACGTTTCCAACGATCCGGCAAACAAATTTTTCCAACGAAAGCTGCTCGGTATTCGCTTTTCCGCGTGTCAGAATATAAAAGCTTCGAAATAAAAATTTTTTGCTATAAAAAAATGCTGGTCGCCTGGATTTTTTAAACGTTAATACATATATTTGACTCGATGATATTCTAGCTGGCGTCGAAACGAATTCGAAGACCTGCTACACCGTAACCTTGATCTCGAAACAAGGCTACAATAATTTAAACCGAAGGAAGCGAATTCCCAAACCGCTGTGCGCTACCATCCTGACGCATATGTTGTTATTGACACGTGCGATGACTCGCAATTGTATTCCGACACCATCCAACAGTTGCAGGAAGGACTCGCGTTCCATTTAAATGTTAAAGAGACTAATTTACTAGGCAACGGGTACAAATATTTTTTTCATCGCTTGTCATCACGAAATATTTTCAAATCGGTCGTTATTACGAGCTACGAACGAACAAAGATCGCGAAAACCGTTGCTTTCCCACCGGTTTTCGACGCTTTCGACCGATAACTACAAGAAATTTGCCGATTTCGACGAAATTCACAGCTTACGTACAAGTTATCCAGATCTAAAAAACGTATTATTTAAATTTTCATTGTTGGAAATAATTTGTTAGCTGTCTCCTGGTAAACCAATCCCCAGAAAAGCATCCCCAAAAAATTTAAATCGCTTGGCCCAATTATAAAAAGAGTGTATTCCGTTTCAAACGGTGTACGAATACTTTCTACGCGCACTGTACGCGCTTACGATGTATCGTCCAACGAGGAATACTTGGTTCGCAGCGAAGCCTAAAAATACGGAAATGCGTTCTAAATACAAACGGATGCTGCTTCGATTCTCGCTGCGCGCGCGTAAACTCGCGAGCAGTGGTACACTTTTAAAAAGAAATGCCATCCCTTTAATTCCATCCCTGTTCCGTAAGCGTCTATTTTACGCGCTCGCTCGACCGCGTCGGAGAACGAAACTTGGACCAACCGGAAAGGAAATCTCACGCTGCGGTCGTTTAAACTGCACGCAACGTAATTACAAAAGAAACGCGGACTTGTATGCACCGATAGAAAAAGAAAGGTTCGCGACTCTTATGGAATGCGGAATACAAAATGCGCTACGCGGCGCGTACGATGTGCAATTCCGTGCGAGCGCAAGCTCGCGAAATCGGAGATTTTCGAACGCAGTTTTTCGTGTGCGAACACGGCCGCGTGGTTCGGTAACATAACCTAAACGCAGATTCTAAAGTTGGCTAAAGAGTGTTTCGCCGCTCGGCGGAAACTGGCAGAATGCAACGAATCCCCCGATACTCACCAATGCCTCGTTGATCCCTGTCATACTAGCATTCGAAGTCTGCAACGCGGAGCCACGTTTTAAAATAGAAATCGCGACGAATTTAAGTACATACTTTCATAATACTCGACGCGGAACACGTGCACGCGCACACGTACACGCGCGCGCCGTGCACGCTTCGAACGTTGCATACGTGTTTGTGGCAGCATACGCATATCGTCGCACGCACACTACCACGACCACATGTAAACATGTGGACGTGTATTAAGTGAAATCAATTATAGATCACGTGAAAATCCAGAGAAACATTCTTGCATACGTACATTCATGTTAAACTAGTATTCGTTTCGCTCGTTGGTACTGGTTCGAACTGATTCCGATGGTACCTTGATCGCACTAGCGACGGCAACGGCGACCGTAACTGTGACAGCAACGGCAACGGCCGACTGGAATAGCGACAGCAACTGCAACTGCAACCGCAACCGCAACGACAACAGCAACAGCGATATTTATAAGCGTATCGACTGCCGAAAGAGTTCCTCGTTGACTGAGACCATCGTGCACGTGCATCGAAAGGACACGAATTTCTCGATCGCGGCGTCTACGTACATTGTATGTAAGCAACTGCGAAACCTCTGCTTCCCTCTCCCGTCTCGCGACCCCGCGCCACGATCTCTCTAATCCTTATCAGCCTTAGCAGCCGTGAAACATGTCTCTGGAGTATGATAATTTCAAAAATATACACTTCCGCGGCGCACGAACGCGGCCAGAACGAATCTTGGTCCACGAATCTCCGCGGACAATTTGTTTCCGTTCGAAGCGTGATATCGTCGCTGTCGAAACGTATCGTTGTCGTTTTTTCAAATTGAATCACGGTGAAACGTTCGACTAATTAAATGCATCAGCATCGGAAAATTGTACGATTTTGTCGACTTTCTTCGTCGCGGATGCTTCGAAGAGTTCGGCATGATATGATCTTTTATCCGCGAACACCAGGGATGCTGTCCGATCGAATCGAATCAATTTATCGGTTCGATGATCGAACCGAATCGCTCGAATTCGAAATTATAACAGCTATATTTAACGTTCGATTGGCAAGCCAAGGTTGCGAAAATCTGATTTGTTGTGGCTTACGATCACCCACCCTGCGCGCTATCCGAAGAAGACATTTTGTCGAAACCATAATCAATTTTTACGCGATTTTATGTATAATAGATTTTTGTGTTCGAAGAAACGCCATATTGATTTATTTCATTCTTCGTCGTGTGCAAATATCAGATTGCAAAATGGTTTCCATAGGGAAGCGGAAATTGCTTAATAATAAACGAAGAAATATATTAAAAAACAATTACAGTTCGCAATATGCCTTAGCTAAATATCTAAATATCGTATATTTCCATATGGAAATCTTTGTTATTCTGGTGTATTCTGCATTACGACTTTAACCTCTAGAAGGAAACCATGATAAGAAATGCTAATAATCTTGTTACTAGCTACGACTTACTTCTGTATCATCGTTGCTGTTGCATTTGCTATATAATCGAGTTTTCATTTCATTTAAGTGCAACTAAATTATCATTTCATTATTACGCGAAAATGTTCTTATAAACGTTCTACAGCGTGTGCATCTTGCGTGTCACGAAAGAAGACGTTTAGTCAGCGATTCAAACGGCTTTCTGATAAGGAAGCTTTCTGAAAAGGAGATTTCAAGATTAAATTGAGATTTTTTAATCATATATGCTATTTATGTTATCATAATATGACAGTATCTGTCCATGCGAAATGAAGAAATTCTATCATCAAGATATCTTCTCATCCTCGGTGTAACGAGTTGATAAAATACAAATGTTTTGTTCACTTGCTTGCGGTTTAAAGTTTAAAAAACGCCTTGAAAATGGACAATTGACGCTGAGATTGTCCACAAAAAATGGACAATTTAAGAAGAGAAGATGCGATTATTCGAGCCTCGTGACTCATTTTTATAGCTACGAATTGTCAACAACTATAAAAACGAGCTTCAAGACTGGAATAACCGTATCTCCTCTTCCCAAATTGTCCATTTTTCTGCAGAATCTGAGCGTCGGTTAGGGAGACATTACTGTACATGCAAGGATAGTTGGTTTTAGAAACCGATACAAAGAAACCATGAATATATGTATGCAATCGATCCCATAATCGTGAATCAAAGTCGTAGACCGTGTTTGAAAGCCGTTCCTCATAATCTAGTTATCTTCATCGTTATCCTTATCGCAAACCGTAATCGTGATCGTGTTCGTAATCGTAATCGTTGAGTCGTGCTCGTACGATTCAAATTATATGTATGGTCGATTCTCTGAAAAACGCCTTATTGAAACGCGTTTGTTTCTCTGTCAGCTTGTTCGAATAATCGACGCGACGTTTCACTGTACGTTCAACTGTATAACCGTTTAGCTACGGTGCACTCATCAATGCAATGAACGCTATCTACTCAACACGCTCAAGAGTGTCAGCCAAATTGATGCTCGTTTTAGACCATGTTTCTTCGTTATACGTAGCAAGTAACTTATTTCATTTCGTTACACAAATTGTAATTATAACGAAGAAAGCATTAAGAAAACCGATTATTAACTATACATGTATGGAATATTAAAGGCAACGTGAAAAAATGGCAAAATCGAGCCTCGCGGCAAGGCTCGAATAATCGTATCTCCTCTCTCCAAATTGTCCAGTTTATATGTAGTTTCGTTAGTTACCGCTTCTTGATTTTTATCTGCCAAAAGTAAGACTGTAAATCTACATTCACGTTTAAACATACTCTGTCCTGAAATCAGCTTAAAGTTTCTATTTTAATACGATTACATTCGTGCGGCACATGTTCCAAGTGGTTACAATCCGATTACTGCCAACTACAAATTGATTCACGTGGGTCTTATATCCTAGGTAGGATAAGTGGGGTAAAACCAGAACTGTAAGCATGTATAATGCTCGCCTTCTTTATTTCTACTCCCTCGCCTTTTTGGAAAGACTACAGGCCTCCTCCGGACAAAGAATGTGTTCAATGATCAATAGTTTAGGAGATAATAACGGGACACCCTGTTCGATATATTTCTTCGATGTAACACGATATGTTTACGACTGTATCCCAATAAGATACCTTAGTATATTGCATGTTGCATTATGCAATCTTCGCGCACGTAAATTAATCCATAACTGTTTCGTTACCGCAAACTTGACAGCCAGTGTCTTAGTCCGCCCTACTTAGATTTCATTACCTCGTGATTACGAAAACAAAATAATACGCGAGCGCGATCTCTATGGTTCTGCGATTAAAATTATTTACTGATATTACAGAATCAACAAACGAACTCGTTACATACTCGGTTCATTATTCTCGTAAATTATATCACTCTCTCTCTCTCTCTCCCTCCCCCCTATCTCTCAATAAACAATGCACGTCGGAAATTTTCAATCGACAGGGCAACATTAATCTCTCGCGAAGTATGTATCTGAGGTTAAATGTAGCATGCGGTGAATTTACAATTTTTCAAACGTTTTCTTTATTATCGACGGGCGATGTTATTTGGCAAACAAATCGGTAAAGCTGCGATCTAAGATAATGGATGTTATTTGTCACAAATAGAAACAATCGAATAGTTTCCTGCACGAACGATTCTATAAAGTTTGCAGAAATGCAAAATAAGGAAACGGTTACATATTTCCACCGCGATAGGTTTAGTGTTAATTATTTCTAACAAGGAAGAGTTAGTTGATTTGCGCTTCCGCTCGAGCCGTTAGGTGGCTAGCATCGTAATCCCTTTCTCGCAACTAAGATGATGCACCGATTAGCATATAATAAGCGTACTGTCAGTCGTCTTTATCTGAAGGATCCTTAGTGTGAGCAGTTCACTGCACACATATAGGTCGATCCGATTTTTGGGGAACCTGCAACGGTTCCATATTAAATTCCAGGTGTCTCCTGGATAGAAGAGGAGTGAGTGGCATCAACCTTTGATGGAATTTTAGATGTTCGGAATTGCGGTAACGTGCGCGAGTATGGGTTATGCGGAATGGTTGTAATGCGATTGTAAAGCGTGTTTGTATCCTAGAGTTTAAGAGCGAATGAAGCGGCGTTCAGACAGCAAGAGGATGGAAGTGAGAGTGCAGTGAAAAAAGAAAGAGGGATGTGTAGTGAAAGTAGTGAGTGCAGTGATAAAAGAAGAGGAAGAAGTAGCCAATAAATTAATTGTACATATATTGTACAAATTAAACCCCAAAAATTGAGATAAATAAATGGCACGAGCAATGATATAATTATTATACATAAATTTATAAAGATTAATTAATAAATAAAAAAACACCAGAATTATAATAAAATTGTTAAGTACACTTTATAATTGACTATGCTCGGCATTCTAAAGGGTTAAACCAAACCAGCGAAATTCAATTGGAACATGTAATTAAAATTTGCAATAAAAATTCCGTATAAATACGGATCTTTAGAATTTATCATTAAATAAATTTCATAACGATAACTGTTAATTTATTTCCAAATATTTTAATAAATAACTATAGTATTTTCCAAAAACACTAAAAAATTGATATAAATATTTCGAAGAATGCAACTTACGTGTAGTAAAGTGAACTTCAGAAGTCAACCGCAATCCTTTAGTATCGATTGTGCAGGGCACGGCAGCGATCAAACCGGGGCCCGTTAGGATGATCGGTCCCCAGACTCGGTCACGCGACTCGGCGATCCGGATCCTCCTACATTTTCAGTCTCGGGGCCCGATGGAGCCCGACTGAATTAATTTCACGATGCACCGCGCCGCACCAGCACAATACGATGCAGAAAACAGGCCAGTCACGAAGGATCATGCGGGGCCAGACCTTTCGTTGCTGCGACCTTGCCGCTGTTAGTGTCACGGCCATGATCGCGTGTTCCTTTTTGGAGTCTTTCTACGCAACCACGCGTACCGCCCGTTGCTCAGAAGTCCGCAGGGAAAAGTGTGGGACCGATCCCCACCAATCTTCACATTCTAACGACCTCGCAGAAGTAGGGTAAACGCATAACGAGGATATAAAAAAGGATATTTGGAAAAATATGCTGGAAGGACGTGTTAAGAAGAGAGAAAGAGAGAGGGGCGGGGTAGAAAAGAAAACATTTGAAAGAGAAGAGGGAACGTAGGAACACGTTTGGGAAGGTACGGAGTCCCAGAGGATGGCAGGAGAAGGGGAAGATAAGAAATGAATAAAGTACGAGGAAAAGAAGACGTCGAGACTAGAGGAAGGGACAGAAATATACATATATAGGCAATAAGAGAGACAGGGGGGTTGTAAGTATTTTCGAAACAAATTTTTACACAAGAAAGTACACATTCTTATAGTACGTATCATTTTATCACTTCGTTTGAAAACCGTAAATGATAGATTAGGTAATAATTTCAAGAGAAGGGAAATAAACTTGTAAATTAGTAAACAATATTATTAGGCGACGAATTTCAATTACCGATTGTATGCACAGAATTGCGCAAAGAATTGATAGAATACAATAAATTGCGATGTCCAATAAATTTTAACGATTTTAATGAAATCTTTAGAAAATTAATCTCTTACATTAACTTCGTGTATTCGATAATAACAATCTCACACATACTAGATGTTTTAAAAATGCTTTTACGCTATTATTTAACTGGATGATTAGTGTGTTATTTGATATGTTCGAATGTAATAGATTAACTTTCTCCGCAAGTAATAACGGGTCGTAATGTTGCGGAAGGGCTAGAAAATAACGGGTAGCTCAGTTAATTAAATAAGGTATCTGCATTTTACAAAGCAATAAGTTACACAAGTATCTTTTATAAGAAACCAAAGACGTTATGACTCGCATCATATAATACAAATTTCAAAGAGTAACCAACACAGTTAACTCGGTAGCGATGTGTTAAAAAAATCGTGGAGTACGACTTTTTTTTCTTTTGCTTATAAAGAAGTTTAGCTTCGATTTCCATTTACGCTGCGCATACAAACTGCATGTATACAATGCTATTGAAAGGCTATAATGTGATTATCAAACGTGTGAGCGCGAGCGTTCGACGCTACAATATCCAGAAGTTCGTAATCCTGTGGAAGACTGGAAGGACGACAACATCGACGTCGACTACTGTCGGATAATATATCGTCGAAACGTGCATCGCAAAGTAAAGCACAAAAGCCATTACATACACGTTGACTGGGAATTATAGTTAGCACCTAGATACTTTGTTGATTGTTTCGACAAGCGAAAGGGTCGCAGGCGTCGCAGCAAGTTGGTCGCATAGACAATTCGTTCGCACAGAGTCGATTTCCCTCGTCGCTTTCGTATTTATCTAAAATTTCCAGTCTACCGACCATACAGTTTTATAAAAGATAATTTGCAATTTAATTCTTATTCTTTCCATTTCGTTCGCTATTATGAAGATAATATTTTGATATTGTTCGGCAGTGGCGGTCGCTTCGACAATGAATAACTAATTCTGTCTATCCTAAACTAGCATGTATAGATAGGGCTATACATAGAGTAATTCGGAAATGAAAAACACTTTGTCAAGTGATAGCATTGATCGTTACTCGACTGTAGATTTTACGCGTTTATAACATGCGTATGCGTTCGTACAATATTCGATGGTAGAAAAAGTTTAACGATCGGCAACGAGATCGTTCTCTCGTTTGAAATTTCATAAAACTTTTCACGGGACGAACAAATGTCCCTTCGGTTCCGGTTTCTGTAAATTTCGACTACAAAAATTTCTATTTGTAAGAACATCCACAGTCTAATAATTATGAGAAAGAATCCATATGAACATGCGTATATAATCCTTGTAAGCACGATAAAACTGTTTCACATTTCTCCGATTCCTTGTATTAGCACTTATTTTGTTCGTTGGCTCGATTAAAGTTTCGTAAACGTAAGAAAGGAGAGAGAAAGCAACGATATTCGATATTTTTTATCGTGCCCAACTTTTGTTAGCAAAGAATAAACGGAAAGTGAAATGAATTTGCTTAGGAGATATAATTGAGTGCGTTACTTAAAACGGGACAGCCTGTATATTAAATGTTAATTCCCTCGAAGAGCAATGTGAAACTGTTTTTTAACATCACGAAAGTAAGTCGTATACAAATTATGTATTATTTTGACGATGTTATGGTGTTTTTAAGAACTTACTGTAAATAGTAGTATTTTGATTTCAATCCCTTTGATTTGTTCACATGAACTTTCTGTCTAGGTGACCAATATTTTCACCTTCCAGACCAAAGATTTTTCTTTTCTGATCACCCTACATTAATCATTGTTTGCTTTATTTTGCACCTTATTTTCAATTCATGTTAATTAATAATTCCTCGACAGTGGGCTCAGCAGTCAAATCTTCATTTTTGCTTTCATCGGACGCAAAATCCGACAAAGGTGCGGATCAATCACTGAAAGCAAAATAAATAATATGTAATAAATTGTCGAAAGGCATTCGAAATGCATTTCTGTAAAGGCATTTCTTTACTTCAATTTTTGTTGTGGGAAATTATTGCACAAGTAATTTATTCGAATAAAGAATTAAATTAATTTCTCTTTCATTTTATTTTTGTAAATAATATACTATATATTATAATAAACACCGCAGCTTTCTGTATCCGTCGTGCGAACAAGTATCGCGACATCGCGATCAGTGTTGCCAGGGAATTGATGGCGCGAGGGGAATCTCTGTGCCCTTCCCTTGTCCAGTGCCCCGCGATCGCCAACAAACTGAAGTTGGAGCAATGGAGGGGATACGTAGATCGTCTTTTTGGCCACGACGCATCCTCACCATTTCAATGTCCTCCTATCCAAGACTTTCCGGTACGTATGGGGAAAGAAAGGAGCTCGGTAACGATTTCGCGGGAGTGCGACGTCCGGGAAGCCTATTCCCTGGCCACACTGATCACGACGTCCGCTGTGCGAGGGTTAAAAGAAAATGTTCGTTTTACAGAAACATTAAGCGTTGCTCTTGCAAGAATATAAAAATGAAAAATATGTGTTACATCTTCTATAAACCGTCCATATTCCAACATGTATATTCTTGTAGTAAAAGATATGACTCTCCATTTATACAAGTCACAGAATATCAAACAGATGAAAAACAAGTTAACTCGATCGTAGAATGTACTACTTATTAATAATTTCTACCAAATTCATAACATTTCTGAACTGAAACATTACCTATCACTGTTTTCAGTCGTTGCCTCTTCGCTGCAGTCCAAATCCAGGTCACCTTGAATCGCGCTTTGTAGGTCATCAATTCTTTGAAGTGCTAGTCTTAGATCGTCTTTGGCGACTTTGGTCTCTGCTTCGGCGGCCTCAAGACATTTTTCTAATTCGCGGCGAGCACGGGTGGCTTCTTGTTCGCGGGTCAACGAAGACGCAGCCTCGTCGCGTGCCTCGCGCAACGATCTTTGCAATCGTCTCGCGGTTTCTTGAGCCGTCTGTTCTTTCGTCTTCAACGAAGCCGTTTCAATTTGCAATTTTTCGACGTTCTCTTTCAGCCTTGTTATTTGCGTCTGCGACAAAACGATAAAGAAGTTACACAATTACAGAGATTACTTGCCTGTCGTACAAAAAAGAAAGCTGATCTTGTTACCTCCAAGCGTGCTCGCGTCGTTTGCTCCAACTCTAATTTACTTTCAAGCTCTTTAGCACGAAATTCGAGGCGTCTCGTGGCCAGACTGTTCGCTGTAGGATCACCGAGTTGCTCGACAGACTCTAATCGTTGGGTTAGCTCTGAGAGTTGATCTTTCAGAGAGTTCCTTTCCGTCTCCAAAGCGGCAATTTGTACTTGAGCCTCTTGTAACTGTGCCTGCTCCGCCGATACTTGTTGAACTGCCGCCCGATATTTCTTCAAAACCTTGTAAAAATACATTAACCAAAATTCGTCGACATTATTCATCTATCGTTCTTACATACGAATCTTAAACTAAATAAAAAGAAACAAGGCAGTTTTTAAATCAACTGATGCAAGCTCCCCCTTCGTCTCACCTCTGCAAGCTCCTCCTCGTTTTCCTCCAGCTGCGAAAGCAGTTCGGTTCTCTCGCGATTGGCTACATTCGCTCGATCTTCGGCCTCGGAACGTTGTCGTAATGCTTCTTCCAGCGACGCTTGCGTCTCATTCAATTCCTGTTCGAGCGCCTGTTTCGCTTTAATCGCGGTTGCCCGAGCACACTCTGCGTCTTCCAATTGGTTCTTCAATTGTCGTAACGCTGCTTTGCCCGTTGAATCGCTCTTCGATCGTTCTAGCATCGTTTGAGCGTCTCTGAGCAATACTTTCGTTCTCTTCAAGTCCCTCTTCAACCTGGCAAATATTTCGAAGACTATAAGCTTATAAATCGCACGCTGGAACGATACTTTTAGCGACGGCGTCGACCCTTATCGGACGCGTATCGCGTCCCACGTGACATTATTCATTAGGCTCGACTATCCGACGTCCGATAAGAGTTGATTTATTTTCTTTGGTACTTCCGGTACAACATACCTGTGCACAGTCTCAGCTTCCGCGGCTCGCTCGGTTCGGTCTTGATCTTCTATGGCTACTAGGCGGCGCTCCAGTTCGTGTTTCTCGCGAAGCAGAATGGTCCTCTCCTCGTATTCATTCTCCAACTGCGATTCCAAAGCTTTGACTTTTTTCAGCACGTTGCCGCGTATGTCTTCCAGTTCGTCGTCCCGCTGCTGCATCTCTTTGCGCATTTCCTTTCGCTGTTGTTCGAAATTCATTTCGAGCCGTAACTTTGCTTGTTCGAGAAGCTGCACTTGCCCGGCCAGATCGTCGAGCTCTTCCTCTTGATCCTTCACCCGCTTCTCGAGCTCGTGTTTAGCTTTCTTCAACTGTGCCACTTCCTCCTCGGTTTTACCACCAAACGTCAGCTCTTCCAATTCCTGGCTCAGCGTGCGTAATCTCTCTTCTTTCAATTCGATCTCTAATCTTGCGTCCTGCGTAAAAGAAAAAAGTAACAGAATTATGCAATTTGAAGTACAAACAGCAGGGTTCGAACCGAATACCATCAATGTTATATTCTTCATTAATTCTGATACGGCATAACTCGCTTCAACCAGGGCAAAGCTAGCTAAACAAATAATGGAACATGCTAATAAATCATACTCACGCTTAAATTTTGTTCGATGGTAAACTTTTCGGCGAGCGCTATTTCTTTTTCTCTCGCCAATTTCTCCCGTTGCCCCTTCTCTTGCCGGATATCGTTCAACAAATTCTGCATTTCCGAGTCGAACCTGATTAAACAAATTTTTAATTAATCGATCGATAGCGGTATTTACACGATTAAATATTACCACGAAGAAATACAGAAATACAGAAATCATCGGGACAAGCGAATCTGCGTGGGTATGCGTGCGCGAGCCGGTGCGCTCGCGCGCGTTTTCCGTAATTCTTTCTACAAAGCGAACTAAAATTGGCAAGTACTATTTGTGGAAGCGTTACTCGATAACTGTACGATGGACCGTAAAATGGGCGATAATTCTAAAACGTATCAGAATCTTTCCTTCGAAAAGCGTTAATTATATAGTTTAGAAGCTATGCGAGAAAGTCGATCGGCTACGAAACGCGAGCTCCCGGGTTCGATTCCCCTTTTCTATTCGAGATCCTACAGCAATAACGTGGTAATAGAATTTCTGGGTCCGCGAGCCAATCGGGCGAACTATGTTCAAACATCCGCAGCCTAATCGCGATCGGCCGAGACTCTATTAATTCGCCGTTCAGTCAATATTTGTTTTTTCTTAGATTAGTATCGAGCTCCCAGTTTCAGGGCAACCGTAGATCTATTCTCGGAGCAATCATTCGGAGTTTATGCACCCACCGAACGTTTGACTAAACGCTGATGTTGTCGGACGTGCAACGTTAGCGACCTGGCCGGTTGCCAGAAACACTTGTTGCCGTCGGATGAAATGAGAATAGAGCCTCTCCCGATACCGTGGAAATTTGGTAATGTGTTCAACAAAGGACAATGATGTTCTCTTGTATAATATCTAGCACATATGATATCCCGCTAACCGATTTAACGGAAGCTCTTTGAAGTTACCGAGACAATGTAGCGTTAACTGTGTATCTCAATTTCCTTTCCTAATTTCCCTGTACGCTAAATTACGGTTCCTATACCTAAATATTGCTACCACTGCGTTACAGTTGCTATTAATAAGAATATTAACGATCAGACAATGCTCTGATATTCGAGCGTGAAGATTCGACCTCGAGAAAGCGAATCCATTCGCTTGGTTTTTGGAGAGTTTTAAAAATCCGTTCCAACTTTTTCCGATACTTAATAATACGTCGGAGTAAGAGAGAAGGCAACAATTGACATTGAAATATCGTAAATATTACGTACTTGCGTTGCTTTTTCTCTAGGAGATTGTTTCTAGCTGTTTGTTCTTCTAGGAGAAGTCTGACGTCGTGCATTTCACCGTTCAACTTTTGTACGCGGCGTTTCCACTGTCCGACAATTTGGCGTTGCTCCTCTACTTCTTCGTAAGCGTCGGTTAACTGCGGGATTAAATAATAAACAATATCAAGTTGGGAAGCTTCTACGAATCCATCGTTTTTAGTTGCATCCGATATTTTTGTTCGATTTCAACATCGACCCTTTTTATGTAAAAGGGGTCGACTCGAGACCCCTTTCGACACCGATAAATTCGTAATTCTAAGAAGACGAGATGGACCGTATCGAAAATACCTTCTTCTCCAATTGTTTCTTAAGCCCCACCAACTGTTCGAGGTCGTCTTCGTGTTGCTGCGCCATTTTCCTTTTGGTGAACTCAAGTTCTCTGACCGCGTGCTCGTATCTCTGTTTGTAAACACCACCATCCTCGCCGTCCTCCACGTCGGACGCAACGCCGTTTAAATCGGCAGCCCTCGCATACAAGAGCTCCATTTCGAGCCGTTCGGTCGCTTGCTGTAGATTCTTGTTCGTCTCGGTGACATCCTGCAGCTCCTTCTCGAGCCGCAGCCGCTCCGACGTCTCCGCGTTGATCCTTTCCGCCGCCAAAGTCGACGTCGAGTGTTCTTCGGCGAACTCGGCGGACATCTCGCTTAACTGAAAGGTAAGTGCGTTTCAGAACCTCGTCGAAAGACACGCGAACGTGTACGCGTTGCATAAAGAGACAAATATATAATTGTCTTTACTTTCGATAGAAAAAAAGCTGACGGCACTGCGAAACGTGTTATTACGATTTAGAACGCGACACGAAATCGCTTCCACGTTTTTTACCGTAGTAAATGTTCCATCGTCTCTGTACCTTCGTAATCGATTCTTAAGCTGTATCATCGAACACGTCCGTTCTATCGTTGGGACCGAACGGGTCGATAATACCAGGCACGATGACGTATTTTTTAGTTATAATTTTCGGTACCATTTTCCAATTGCAAATTACGGTGGAACTCCGTTCACGTGAACTAATTTAAACTTATCGGTTGCTGAAATCAGTTGACGTTGTTACGAGCTGTAATAAATTAAAGATGGCGAAGATCGCAGTTTTATTAAATCTTTCAAGGCCAGTAAATCGACTCTGGGTTATTAACTCCCAATAAACGGAGTTCTATCGTATATCGATGCGTTTTCACAACGGTATCGCCTTTCGGTACGTTACCGATATTTAGAATACCAATATTCTATGAACGCTTTGCGCGACGTGTGCATAAAATGAGTGTGCAAATAAACGATCGTCGGTGACCGTACGTTCGAAACAAGTACATTCGTTTCCGATGGCGCATTTATCGTGTTACGTCTCGATCGTTCGGTTCCCGAGCAGCCAAGCGAACGAGGAAACGTAACGCAATGCCCTCGCAGAAAATGTAAATAGCGCGTTTATTTCAGATACAGTAAATTCTCCCCGACTCGCGCTCGAATTGCGCACGAAAAAAGAACAATTTCGTAAGAGGAGATACGATTATTCGAGCCTCGCGGCTCGTTCTTATAGTTGTTGTCGATCGGTAACTATAAAATCTCTCTAATTCGCGTTCTTTATTAATTAATTATTGTTATATATTATGTATTATTATATTACTAAATTAATATTATTGTATTGATATCAATTGCTATACTATAAAAACGAAAAGCAACGCTCGAACAATCGTATCTCCGCTTCCCAAATTTTCCATTTTTGCGCGCAATCTAAGCGCGAATTAGGGAGAAATTACAGTAATCGCGTCTCCTCTTCCCAAATTGTCGATTTTTGCGCGTAATCTGAGCGCGAATTAAGGAGAAATTATTGCGCGTCGCGAGCGTTCGAAGCGCGTATCCCGAACGATCGAATAGGAAGCACCGGCTAATAAAAGATCGAAAAGTAAGCATAGTTTGTGTACCTCTGGACCGATACTGTCCGAGATAGTTCTGTCTTCGGATGCGCGAGACAAAGACTGTCTGGAGGAGCTCTTAGCAACGTTGTCCGCTCTACTATAATATTGAAATCCACGGATCATAATGTTAGTGGCGCTTTGGCTTCTACCCACGAACCCCCTAGGCGCGTCGCTGGCTCTTGGCGAGGAGAACGCGTTATCGGCTTCGTTCTTATGGCCCAGACTCCTCCACTCGTCCATAATGTGATCGGTACGTTTGAGAAACTGCGAGATCTTCGCGGAGAGATAGGAAGATGCGGTTGCCGGCTCGAGGTGGGAAGCGGTGGGTCTGAAGGACTGTCTGACCCTCTGCTTGTCGCAGCCGAGCACGAAATTCAGGCTGGCGTCGAACACGACGGGATCCTGTTCTTTGATCGACGCGGCCTCCATCGGGCTCGGGCACGGGTTCTCCAACGGGTAGACTCTTCTCGGGGGCGTCGAGAAACGCGCGAGGCCGTCCAATCTGGACCGAGGCCTCCCGGAAACGGTGGACAACGACACCGACTTGGAGCGGTAGGACAGATTCGAGGAGAGGCTGCAGGGCGAGGGACTCCTCGTCGAGCTCGTGTCGAGCAGCTGCAGCCTGCTGGCCGGCCTCTTGAGAGCGCATGGTGGCAGCGGCGGCCTTTTCAACAGATTGCTCGTTAAGGCCGCGGCCGCGGGCCTGGAGGAACGCGCGTGACCGGAAGTCGCCTCGCCGTCGGTCGAGAAACTGTTCGAACGCGATTCCTGCGAGCTCTGCGAAATTTCGTTCGAGTACATCGCCGGCACCGACGGCATCCTCTCCTCCTAAACCGTTGATCCTCTCGACCTCCGAGATCGACCTAATCCGGACGACGACGTCTCGTCGGTTACTTGTACGTACATCCCGGCGCACGGTCGCACGGTTTTCGTCGGGACTCGTGTCTCATAGCGAATACCTCGTCCCTGTTCCCTGCCGGGGATAATGCGCGCTCTAGAATAGAACGACAGCGTAATACCTTCGTCTCGACGAGTATCAATGGGAACCGTAACGTTTACATACACTGGTTACTACACGTATACTAATGGTTACACTTCATTGAGAAACAGCGACAACCCGCTGGGCTGCTGGCTTTCGTTCCTCGCTGGACACGCGGAGCTCGCGAACAACGGGTTCGCGTCGAGACGAGAGAGACGAGTTCTCGCCGATCTCAAATTCGTTTTCGCTTTCGCGCGAATCGCGTCGATCGGGTCATCGGATATGACTCGCCGCCGAGGCCTTTAATTGCGTAACATCGGACGGCAACGCCCGTATCGAGAGGGAGTCCCGGCGCGACTGACTCTTCTTCTTGGGTCAGCCGATACTCGGGTCGGTTACGTTTCTGAAGAAGAAGACGACGGTCACCTTCGAGTTATTCTAAGTGAAACGGAGAGAGAGAGCGAAGGAGACGGAACCACGGATAGCAAGAAGCGCCTAGGGAACACGAGATCTAGCCACAATTTTGGCGGCGCGCCAAATCTCCTCTGTAAAGTCCGCGGGGAAAGTTTCGGCGAATAGAAAGCGGGACGAGGCGGGAGAAGATCTCGAGATCGCGAGATTTCGGGAATTTGTTTCGGCCAATCCTCGACCGGCACGGACGATTCGAGCGAGCCGCGATCCCGACCCAACGATTTGGTTTTGCAAGTGTTCGCGCGGGGAGCACGGAATCTTCGATCGAGCAGCGTTTCCCTCGTTCGTGCTAGGTTTATTTTAAACATTGTTAGATCGTGTTCTCGACGGCAACAATACCTGGCGTGTCGTCGAGATCGCGGTTAAAGGAATTCGGGAGAGCGGACGAAATTTACGGAATTGCTGCCAGGACGAATGCGATGTTACCGTCCTCCTCGGCGAGAATGCAATCCGCGGCTTTGTTTACGAGTTATTAACGAAAAACAGTGACCAATGAGAGGCGAGATATGCTGGCACGGAGCGACCGAGCCAATTAGCGAAGCCGAAATTGGTCCGCGCGTTGGTTGGGCCGCCTCGCGCCAACCGAGCTCGCCTTTCGATGGTCGCTATTTTTCATTAATAACTCGTTGGTTTAAATGATCTCAGGGATCCCTTGTTTTTTTTTTAATTACTTGTACGTACAGAATTATTTGCAGAATGTTGTCTCATTGGATGCTTGTAAAAATATGCTAGTAAATAAAAGACTGAACCGTCAGAAAATAATGATCTGGATATATTATCCTTTGTCAGTAGAAAAGGAGGCATCTCGACGATGCAAGATATACGATATGCGAGAAAGCTCTAAATCTTGATGAGAAAATGCAAGAAAATCCTTCGAGCTGTATTAATCGATAACGACAACTACAGTTGCGTTTCGAAGAACTAATTTACTACTACGAGCTATTTCGATGATACAGAGGAAGAAGTATCGGTCAACGAAATTTTTATCTAACTGTAACAGATGATGACGACGATGATTGGAGATGGTTCGTTGGTCGGATTCGCAACGCGATGAAAATTTCCTCGTAGCACGGTTCGTGAACCACATCTGACCTAATTACATGCTACGGGTAATTGTAGTATATGTATAATTAGCTGAACAGATTGCTGTAACATCGTGTTTCGATAATCGTCTTAACCAGCGGCTCGAACGGTTCAAAGTAAAATAACAAGAAATCGTATTTTCTAAACTCGTTGGAACTTCTCGTCCTTGTGCCTAATGAAATGTGCACGCGTTTTACGTCGAGTTTGTACCGATTAGCGACGTGGATACACCGACGCGTTACGTTTCATCGCAAATATGTATTTGTCGCTTTTAGGAACATTATCGCGTCTGGTATAATGCGCGCCGATCCGACGTTCGCGAGTATAACCGTGCCAACCGAGTTCGACAAGTATTGTTAGGATCTGTGCGATTTCGGTGTATCGCGGAGGAGGGGATGACGAACCGCCGNGAAGGAGACGGAACCACGGATAGCAAGAAGCGCCTAGGGAACACGAGATCTAGCCACAATTTTGGCGGCGCGCCAAATCTCCTCTGTAAAGTCCGCGGGGAAAGTTTCGGCGAATAGAAAGCGGGACGAGGCGGGAGAAGATCTCGAGATCGCGAGATTTCGGGAATTTGTTTCGGCCAATCCTCGACCGGCACGGACGATTCGAGCGAGCCGCGATCCCGACCCAACGATTTGGTTTTGCAAGTGTTCGCGCGGGGAGCACGGAATCTTCGATCGAGCAGCGTTTCCCTCGTTCGTGCTAGGTTTATTTTAAACATTGTTAGATCGTGTTCTCGACGGCAACAATACCTGGCGTGTCGTCGAGATCGCGGTTAAAGGAATTCGGGAGAGCGGACGAAATTTACGGAATTGCTGCCAGGACGAATGCGATGTTACCGTCCTCCTCGGCGAGAATGCAATCCGCGGCTTTGTTTACGAGTTATTAACGAAAAACAGTGACCAATGAGAGGCGAGATATGCTGGCACGGAGCGACCGAGCCAATTAGCGAAGCCGAAATTGGTCCGCGCGTTGGTTGGGCCGCCTCGCGCCAACCGAGCTCGCCTTTCGATGGTCGCTATTTTTCATTAATAACTCGTTGGTTTAAATGATCTCAGGGATCCCTTGTTTTTTTTTTAATTACTTGTACGTACAGAATTATTTGCAGAATGTTGTCTCATTGGATGCTTGTAAAAATATGCTAGTAAATAAAAGACTGAACCGTCAGAAAATAATGATCTGGATATATTATCCTTTGTCAGTAGAAAAGGAGGCATCTCGACGATGCAAGATATACGATATGCGAGAAAGCTCTAAATCTTGATGAGAAAATGCAAGAAAATCCTTCGAGCTGTATTAATCGATAACGACAACTACAGTTGCGTTTCGAAGAACTAATTTACTACTACGAGCTATTTCGATGATACAGAGGAAGAAGTATCGGTCAACGAAATTTTTATCTAACTGTAACAGATGATGACGACGATGATTGGAGATGGTTCGTTGGTCGGATTCGCAACGCGATGAAAATTTCCTCGTAGCACGGTTCGTGAACCACATCTGACCTAATTACATGCTACGGGTAATTGTAGTATATGTATAATTAGCTGAACAGATTGCTGTAACATCGTGTTTCGATAATCGTCTTAACCAGCGGCTCGAACGGTTCAAAGTAAAATAACAAGAAATCGTATTTTCTAAACTCGTTGGAACTTCTCGTCCTTGTGCCTAATGAAATGTGCACGCGTTTTACGTCGAGTTTGTACCGATTAGCGACGTGGATACACCGACGCGTTACGTTTCATCGCAAATATGTATTTGTCGCTTTTAGGAACATTATCGCGTCTGGTATAATGCGCGCCGATCCGACGTTCGCGAGTATAACCGTGCCAACCGAGTTCGACAAGTATTGTTAGGATCTGTGCGATTTCGGTGTATCGCGGAGGAGGGGATGACGAACCGCCGCTAACTCTGGTGCAACGACAGAGTGAAACACCGCGAAAAGCCCCTCTCACTATTTTCTTCTACAACATTTCCGTTTATACGTTCGTTCTTCCTCCCTTTTTCTTAGCGATCCAACCGAGTACCACTGTTCTCGTTTAAACAAGGCACCCTGTATGTAACATATGCACCGAGATATTTTCCAAAGGTGTTTAACGAAGCTCGAGAACTTAAGACAACCAGTTCGACCAGTTTGTTACCAGCTGACTAGCGGAGATAACCGTAGTATGAGTCATTTAACGCTAATTGTAAGCGATCGCACTTGATACGGACGAAGGCGTGATTTTTTTCAGAAATTAAATTATACAAGCTTGTAAATAGGATGCTTCCATTCCTTGCGTAACTTATTTTCCTGTACACACGCTGCTCGTGACACCGTTTAGGCGATGGTCTGGAATGTGCTGCCAAATGGTGGAGTGTAATTGCAACGGTAGTGTCGTCGGCATGTTCCAGCATCCTCTCCAACACTCGGTAGTTCATTTCAGACCATCGCCGAGACCAACTTGTACAATGGCCGATCACAATTGGATCCGAAGCGTCTTTCTCTCCAATCGTTTGCTGCCGGTACTGTTCAGAACGAATCTTCGAAAGGACAATGTTTACCTAAAATTATTTGCACACTCAATTGTTTGACAGCACACAAATATTTAAATTGAGACAATAGTTTCTCGAAGGACGCCGATTGCTTTCCTTAATCTAAAAGGAAACGGTTGCTAATAGTATATGTTCGCGGAATGTCGGGACAACAAAGTTGGTAGAATTTTCTTTGCTCGCTATCTTGGAATCGTCTCGAATGAATAATAGTAAGCTCTTTATCGTACCTTAGTCTCCAGTATGTCATTATCATGCTTTAGATGATTGCGTTCTTGTTCCAACCTCTCGACCTTTGCTTTGAAGATCTCGAGCTCCTCCTAATCATAAAGATCAATCGTTTGGAACCAAATTTCTCTTTGCATTCTGTACGCCTTTGCATTTCCTTGCAATTTTGTGACGCGTTAATTGGTACAATGCGAATCGAAGTTGAAACAGAGAGCTCTTACCGTCTTTGCTTTTAACTGGTCTTCCGTCCGATGAACATTCAACAAAGGTGCAACTTTCACGTATAATCTCCACCATGGCCATTCTCGTACGGACATCCATTTTCGAACGTTCCTCTGTATGCATCTGACTGCAAGATCTTGTAACTGAAAAATTCATGGTATCGTCAGTTGTATGCCTATGTATGTAATAAGTTGTTTTATCGAATAATTGATGTTTTCATTTAAAACTGCGTTTTCAAGGAAAATGAGTTTGTCTTGTGGTATAATGAGAAGTAGAATTTATTACAATTAATTAACAAATTATGCTCCCTCGCTGTTAATTCTAAAACAACTGTTAACAACGAAGGATCTGGAAATGTGTTATACGATAGCCGAGGAATCTACCGCACAGGTAATTGCGCAGACGTAGGTGAACAGCTTTGAAAAAATGAAGATGCCATGACATACTTTCAAGGTGTTGAGTTTACGACGTGCCAAGTATCCTCTGCACCTTGCTTGCAAAAGAACTATGTGGCCAGTTAGTTTCTCATCTCTTTGCGCCTCCAGCCGTTCCAGGGTACCCGATCTGAAAAATATCTGTGGAAAGAAATAAAGATGTACTCGTTTTCTGCCGACAAAGATCAATGATAATTAAACGAATTGTTAAGTATTTATTTACAATGGTGTTATTACACGTATGCTATTACGTATGCTATTATGTTATTACACGAGTAAATCGACGGATGTTCGAAGCAGTTTCATTTTTATCGAGCCAAGGATGTAGTGTACGTAATTCGCTTAAACGGTAACGTAATTAAAAAATTAAAATTTCAGGAGAACCCGGTTCGAATGTTCTCCTTATTTAATTGTTTAATGGTATCGTTGAAACAATGTCGTAGGAACAAGAGTTAGGAGAAATTCGTATGCAGAAGTGTCGAACACATCCAATTAGTTTAAACGCGATGATGCAAGAATGACACAAGAATGGCGCAAGTACACTCGATTCACGGTGTTTAGAAATCCACCCGCAGCATTGTATTCGCGAAAACTGTGCACAAGTGAGAACCTACTTTTCTATGTCCACAACACGAAAGTCACAAATTTCGTATTATGTCACTATTACGGCCAATGATCTCCGGCCAATAATAATATAGTAATATACATAGGAAAAAGTTGTTCGGAATGACGATCTTAGCAACGTGTTTCAAGACCATTGAAATCAGAGTCGAGAGGCCCCTCCTTCGAATAATTAACAAACTAGATTCGGCAGTTCTGGTACGCCAGCTAGTATACGTCGTTAAAACCTGTTTTCGGATATTCCATAATTCGCGTGCAAAAACGTTCGATTTTGCTTCGAATTTCAATCGAGAGAAGAAGATCTTTGGTATGTTTACCGAGGAAAGGAAAAGAGAAAAGAAGATACATCTACGATAAGAAGAATGAGAAGCAGCATGAAACAGAGTTTGATTATTTCCGCGCTATGGTTTTACAGGCTTCGGCAGCACATTATACAGGGTGAATATCGAAAAACGTCTCGCAATCCGGAAATGGGAGGTTCCTCGGGTCATTCGAAGCAACTTTTTCCTCGGCGAGAATGCGATCCGCGGCTTCGCTTACGAGTTATCAACGAAAAACATGGACCAATCAGAGGCGGGACCAGCTGGCGCGAGACGGCTCGGCCAATGAGCGGAACCGAGCCGCGCGCATCGGACCGCCTCGCGCCAGGCAAGCTCGCCTCTCATTGGTCACCGTTTCTCGCCGATAACTCGCGAACGAAGCTGCGGATCGTATTTTCGCAAAGGAGAAAGTTGCTTCGAATAGCCTCGGGAACCCCTCGTTTCCGGATTGCGAGACATTTTCGGGACACCCCGAATGCAGGAATAATTCTATGAGACTAATGTAATTTAGGCGACGGACCTGCTGGCCATCGCTGTAGGATCTGCTAGCTTTCCACTGGCCTTTGCCAGTGTATTCTACAGACTTATTGCCGTCACCTCTGCCGCTGTCGATACTGCTCACTCCGCTCGAAGTCAATGCACCGGTCCTCGCGATAACAGTTTCCTTAGCTGGCTCGAGCGTATCGATGACGGTCGAACGAAACGTTCCATCGGCGAGCTTCGTTTGCGGGAAATAATGTTTCCTCGCGTATCCTTGCCCGTCGTTCTCCACGCTCTCCTTCCATTCGGACTCATTCTCGTTGCTCATGTGACCACTGTCCTCCGAACAATTGCTGTCCGAGATGTAACCGTTGTAGTCGTTCACACCCTTGACGTTCGCGTTTTTCTTGGACACGATCACCGAGTCCGTCGGATCCCTCGCTACCTTGGACGCTTCCGCGTTCTTGCAGTTGAAAAAATTCACCAAGTGCTCTATCTCCTTGGCCCTTTTTCCAACCGAATTCTTATTCTTCGCCTCCCGGGTGACGGCTGCGTTGGCGCGATTACCATTGCCGACGGTTTTCCCGTGACGAACGGCCGTCGAGTCGCAGCCGGAATCATTTTTCTTCTCCGACTCGCCGATCGGCTGTTTACCGGCTTGCTTCTCCCAATTTTTCTTGAGCTTCTCGATATTCGACTTCGCTTCCCTCTTCTGTCGCGAGCAATCCTCTTTGACGTCGTCGCTCTGCTCGCTCCCATAATTCTCGAATCGGCCGCCGAGCTCCTTCGAGTTCGACAGATTTTTGATCGTCCCGACGTTCCGAGCTTCGCGTTGCTCCTGCTCGCTTTTCTTCCGCGAATCCGGCTGACCGTTCGCCGCGTCTTCGCCTATTCTGATCACCGTGGAGTGATACACCGTCTCGACGTTCTCCTCGGACTTGATCCGCTCGACATTGAACCCCCGTGGCTCGTAAGCCGACCCAATTCTGCAGGTCACGGCGGAATCCGCGGAATCCACGGAATCGATCGACGCGATTCCCGTCCGATTCTGTTTGTCCCTGTCGATGTTGTCGCCGTTGTTCCCTCTCGCGTTCTCCGCCGTCGCCACGGCCTCCTCCTCGTCGTCGTCGTCGTCGTCCAACTGTGCCATCAATCGAGCCACTCGTTCCTCGAAATTGCTGCTGAACCCTCGAGCCGTCTGACGTTGCTCGGACGAGGCGCGGCCGAACGCTTCCCGGCAATTTTCGTAGATACGTTCGTCGATCGAACGGTCGAGATCGATATCGATGCTCAGCGGCGTCGCCGCGTGGACCGTCGCGGGCTCTGCGGCTCGATCTACTTGGGATAGATCGGCGAGAGATCGGCCCACGCGAGTGTTCCGTGCCAAAAGCGGAATCTTACTCGGTCTCGAGGACATTCCGAGGCTCTTCTTGCAATCGTTTTTCAAAACGGCTCGGATGCTCCACAAACTGGTAGACCTGCTCATCGTGGCTCTCGGTGCCGGACGATGGTCCTTTCTTTCGCCGTGCTGCCTCGTTTCCTCGGCCAGCCTAGACTGCTTTTTAGCCTCGCCGGGGAACGAATCGTTCATCTTGTAAGAACCCCTCGGATTGTCGCGGACGTCGCCGGAAACGCATCCGAGGCTCACCGACCGATCCAACGAGCCCGTGTTCTTGCGCAGCGCCTCGGACTTTTTCGGCAGCTTCGCCGGCGTGTACGAGAGCTTCTTCTTCAACAAGGTCCTGTCCTCCAGGATCACGCAGGACGGCGACGAGCACGACAGGCTCTTCCCGACCGGTCGTTTTTCGTTCCGCGAACTCGGCGACGAATTCTTCGCCGTTTCCGCGCGCGGATCCGCCGTCGCCCGTCGAGGCCTGCCGCAAGCGGACGCGCGCGTCTTCGCGTGCTCGTCGGACGCGGGCTTGCTTTGGCCGCACGTTTTCGGGGAGGACGCGCATTTCGGCGCTCCTCGAGGCTTGGCCGGTGTCGGCGCGGTCTGATCGGGCCCCGTTTGCTTCTTCGGGACCGACAACGCCGTCCTCGACACGTTCGGGCTGCTTCGAGCTTTGACTAGTCGCGATCCGTTGCCGGCTGACCATTTTGTCGCGCCGTCCAACATGGTGCGGCGGACGCGAAGGCGATCGCCTCGAACGGGATGCTAAATTTCACGGATTCTTCGGGACAGAGAGAGAGAGAGAGAGGATGCGACGGGATTGTTCTCTGGCGCGCTTCAGTTTCCGCGTTGCCGGCGCATTTTCATCGACGTCTCGACGGGCATACCCGCTCGGAATTATCGGAAGAATTTCTGCGAATCGGGTCGGACGCACTTGCCGCTTCGTTCACTGCTTCGATACGAAACGTGTTACAGCTTCTTCACGTTCACACACGGATCGGCTCTCACTACACCGTGAAAGTGACACACTTTCATTGTATCAACGGACGGCTCCTTTCTGCGAGCTGCGCCTACGCCGCGATCCCGTCTTCAAAATTGCGCATTCTTTCGACTAAATCGACGGCCGGCCCGCGACTTTCGAAGTTCCCGTCGATCTAGAATTTCGACGATGCACTTTGCTCAATTGTCGGCGGCTCGTTCGACGCCCGCTACCGCGACGCTTATCCTCGTCCGCATTTTTCTGAAATCTTATCGCGGATCACCGTTCCTCCGTTTCCCGTTTTCCGTCCTCCTCCGTCGGGCCTCGCAGATTTCTGGCGATGTTACGCGCGCACGACAACGGACCGCCTCGTCACGGAAAGGCGCCTTCCTCTTGTGCGAAGAACGACCCACGACTAAGTACCGTAAAAGCTGCGTAAAAGTGGACGTACGTTTTATGGTCGCGAGAGGAAAGGAAAGAAAAAGAGTCGGATGGGCGATAGGAGGGAGCCACGAAGAGGGGGACGACGGCAAAGAGAGCGAGAAGCAAAGTTGCGGAGCGTTGCCGCGGTGGGGGCTCGAGAAGAACGGCGGCGGAAGAAATGGCGAGGAGGAAAGTAAGAAAGGAAGAAAGGAGGAAAGCAGAGAAAAGGAGGATACACCGGGGTTAGAACGGGGAGGCAACGGAGAAAGAAGGGAACCGATCGAAAGGGGGAAGAGAAGCAGCTCGATCGATGATCGCGTTATTAATGAACGGTCCCCGGATTCGCGGCGAATCTGTAGCGGATCGTATCGTCGATCTCGATCGGATATCGTACGGACCGATCGATCGGGAAGCACGTCCGCGTAACGAAACGAGCGAAAAATGTCATTTTTATTTGGCATTTTTGTAAATTCATTGTTAAATTAAGAAGGTGCGTTCGCGCTTTAAATTCTTTCAATATCATGACATTGATCGAGTTACTATACGCAGCGGCGCGTACGCGTACGTCGACATAATATTCTTGAGCTTTTTCTCATTGAAGAGCGTCTCATTAAAGCGACGATAACTCTGTTTCGGCGTGGATCCGCGGTCCGAACTTTCGTTCGGAACTTTCGTTTCTCGAGTCGCATATTTTGATAAGTCGATAAGAACGAAGTGAAAACTGTTGCAGCACCTTTCTTTCGATTCCACCTCGGAGTTAGGCAATCTACGGACGCGTAAACGTATCCGGGCTCTCTGGGTCGTCTACGCGGAGCTCTTCTCGCTCTAGGACTTACTCTTCTTATCGTCGGGTCTGTTCTTCGATATACCGTAACGCGGCGTGCAACATCGAAAGGAGACGGCGTATCTTTTTCGTATTCGACTA